TTGCCAGGTTGTGCGATGTAATATGTATATGCATGACGTTTAAAATAACGTGATAAATATCTTTGGTATGAAAGCTTGTCGCATCGCTGCCCACCATGCCAATATGGTGCAAACATTCACCATGATGGGAGGTGTAGCGAATGATTGAAGGAGAGTCTCACACTTCGGGCAGAAAAGGCCGACGGGACAATACTGTCGAGCTTTTCTGCCTGAGAGTGGCTATAAAAGCTTTCCCCTTGCCAAAAAGGCCAAATTCTAGACAGTTACAATATATTGACTAATTTTCCGTTATATACGTATATACGCTTCCTCGTATCCCCAGACCAAGGATGCATCACAAGACGTTGTATGCGTAACAGCAGCTATGTTACAGGCTAGCTACTCGAAAAACTAAAATGGCAACCTTGACATACACTGTATTCCTTCCTAGAGCCAAGTGATCGTTTCAGAGGTGCATGCCTGCGTTGAAAATAACATTATATTATATCAGCACATCGAACTTGACCATGTTCAAAATGGATATCATGCGCAAGTGACACGTAGCATGTAATCATAAGATGAAATGCAGGGGTGGACTTGCCTAAAATTTGCTTGATGAGTTCTGCAATTTAGAAGTTTTATGATCTAGATAAGATTAACAACGGGTTGACATATACTGCATACTGCTAGGGCGTCTTTTCGCTTTCGGAGGATTTGATACGAGAAATATTTGAAACCTGCCAGCTTTGTAATGATACAAGAGATCAATTGATGTGTCTTCATGCTATCTACAGAATCGGCAAGTGGCTTATTAAGCTAGGTTCATGAGGCTTATATGTAGATATATATTGTGTCCATATCGTAAAATTGATCAGGCATTTTATGAAATGTTCGCGGTTCATTACCCATTGCCCAGATCATGATGTGCGTTGACCAGATCAAACGTTTAACGATAAGATCAACTAAACGCGTTGAAAGCGCTTTGTTTCCATGTCAACGGCCGTTAATAACGTGAAAATTCAACAATTCGTTACTAAATGACGAAGAAAGTAAGATTCAAAGACGTCACAACAAAAAGGTACTCGAGTACTATCCGGGTCACGCAAATACCGATCAAAATGTGAAAAACCCGTAGAGTTCGGTAGGTGTTTCACAGGTTAGTAAAATAAAGTGCCAGCTAAAACATTGCGTTTGTCTATCGAACGTATGTGTACCTGTTCTATCAAACTGTTTAATTAGTTTAGGCAATTTAGTTTATGTAAAAAGGTACATTTAAAACAATTAAACATTTCAATAAAAGCAGTCCAGCTTTTTATTTGAATCGTGGACTCGACAGGACTCGGCACTTAATTCGTTAATGATTGGGAGTATGTGACAGATGCAGTGCCGATGACACGGCTCGAACTCGTCGGCTTCATTTGCTAATGAATACTCGTGCATAATGCTCATAGTCATGGATAGTTTCTTTGTCGCTCCCAATGAAAACTCTGTATAGGGGCGCCACTGCTGTCGTGACGGAATGGTAAGAACTTTGAGAATTAATATATGCAGCCATTATTATGACAATGGAGGCCACTCATAACAAACATGTGCTTAACATAGGATTGATGTGCTTTTCTTTTATACGGTATATAGGGAGTGGAGCCGCCAGTTGGTGCAGACTTTGTTGTACTTGAATATATCCTAGTTTGTTTAAACTGATGTCGAATTTATTGATTTATTGATATGACATGATCAAGTGGCCTTATTTGCTTTTAGGTATCCCTTTCTTCACTATCTGAATTTAAAACAAAGAATAGTTTCTACTGAATGGTGATATAACCTAGTTCTGGACAATCAGACAAACAATTAATAAAAATTGATCCCATATACAGGGTGTTCATTTGAAAACTTCCCAACACGAATTTATCAAAAACCACTGAATAAAAGAAAAAACGCCGAGACAGGCTAAAAGATTTGTAAAGGGAGACAACTTTTTAACCAAAAACTACTCCATCCCCTTTCACCCTCGGCCGCCTAGGGTCGTTCCCTTGAAAATTTTAAATGACAAGAGGTATCAAGTAATAGTTTGTTTAAAAGGTCTTTCGAAGTCCTTTATTTTGACGTTTGATTTTTTTAAATCAGTCGATTTGTTTTCGAGAAAATTAGAAAAATCTTTATTTATCTTAATTTGTTCAGATAGAAAACAAAAACACGAAAATATCACTTTTCATTGTAATAAGTGTTCAAAATGTTACCCGCTAGAGTTTGTCAATTCGTTCATAATTTAAAACGGAAACTACCAACATAAACAGCAATTCGGAGGATTAGATGTGGCAACAACCATTTAATAACCTGAATTTTTTCCGTTTTCTTTACATCAACACATATCCTGGGCGAACTGTATTTATTTTTATTCCTGTTTAGTTATTTGTTGCTAAGAGAAAGAAAGAATTTAATTTGCTCACCGTTGTAACAATCTTGGGATAGTGAAAATAAATTTATTAATTCAGATTTTACTTCCAAAATGGTATACATACTACCCGAACGAGTGGAAATGATTCTAGTTTATGGTACCCTAAATCAGTGTGCTCGGCAAACTGCCGTCACGTCTAACGCCAGACATCCAGGGAAGATAACTTCACATTGGTATGTTTTGAACCTTGTTACTACATTTACTCGAACTGGATCTGTTCCAAATAAAAAACGTGATCATCGGAGAGTTTTGGATGAAGCCACTCAAGTTGAAGTTTTGGGTCATTTTGGACTAAATCCTAATACTTACTTCATTACGCAAAATTGTTGGTGCGACTGGTATTTCATTAGGCTCTGTACACACAGTTACTAAACTCCATAAATTTCATCCATTCAAAATGAAAATATTGCAAGAGTTAACCGAAGATGATTTCTATAGGCGAGTTGAGTTTTGTGAACAAATGACTGAAGCGATTAATGATAATACCATTCATGTAAAGAATATCTGCTTCAGTAACAAATGTACATTTTATCTAAATGGATTTGTTAATAAGCATAACTGCAGGTATTGGAGCAATGAAAATCCTCATGCTTTTTTAGAAGGGCATACTCAGTACCCCCAAAAAATTAATGTGTCGGCAGGCATTTTAGTAAACAAAGTGATTGTGCCATTGTTGATTAATGGAAATTTGAATGGAGAGATTTAATTGGATATGTTGGAAAATACCATCAATCCGCTTATCACTAAAACCATTGAAAACTAAATCGAACAGGATGGAAACCCTATACGTGATGAGGCTGAAATATATTTTCAGCAAGACAGCGTTCCTCCTCACTATATTCTTCCGGTTCGGCAATGGCTAGACGACGAGTTTCTAGATAAATGGATAGGGGCCATTTGAAATATATTGTGTTTACTCTCCAACCTGAAAGTTTGGATGAACTTCGTCAAGGCATCATCGAAAGCTGCCATGATATCCCACAACATGTTTTTGAAAATGTCCGTTAGGAATTTGAGCATCGCCTATATCATTGTTTGGCCAATAATGGGCAACGTTTTGAACACTTATTGAAATAAAAAGTGATATTTTCGTCTGTTTTCGTTTTCTATCTGTACAAATTAAGATAAATAGAGGTTTTTCTAATTTTCTTGAAAACAAATTGACCGATTTAAAAAATCGAAAGTCAAAATAAAGGCCCTCGAAATACCTTTCAAACAAGCTATTACTTGATATCCCTTGTAATTTAAAATGTTTAAGGGGATGACCCTCTGGGAGGCAGAGAGTGAAAGGGGGTGAAGTAGTGTTTGGTTGAAAAGTGAGGTGTCTCTGCGTTTTTTTCTTTTGATCAGTGGTTTTCGATAAATCCGTGGTGGGAAGTTTTCGAATGAACACCCTATTCAATAAGTTCACAATCAATAATATAAAAAATATCAAATTTTATTAGGGCTATAAAATTGGGCAGTTTTTATTTTGATTCGAAAGCATCAAATATCAATATCAAGTTTTGCAAATTTTTTGATATCTAAGATTTGTCAAAGCATAGTTCTAATATATATACATCACTCAGTAAAATGCAATTTGTTCTTTTAAATCCAAAATATTATCCAAATATACTCAAAAATCATCTAAATGAAATAGTTAATTAAAAGTAGGCGTATAATTTGATCTAAACAAAGTCAATAAATGTAATTAACTTGTTTTAGCTGGACCAGGTAAACTCATTTTGATAGTGCATTAATTTTAAGTAAATTGGTGTACTCAATCTAAGTAAACAGTTTAATAATTTAATTAAACGATGGTGCTTTGGCATAATTAAACTAAGTTCATAGATTCAAGTAAACTGATTTAGAAATCGGAGTTTAGTTAAACCAATTAAACTTGTTAGCTGTCACATAGCAACTTAAGTTTTTTAGTTGGCTTAATTACATTTAATTGGTTTAGTTAGATTTGTTTCTCAGTATGGAGAAATACTATGAAATGTTGAAGGAAGTGCAGAAAACTGAAAATGGCAAAAAATCGTGGGGTTCGGAACGTGTTTCACATGTTAATACCTCACTCTTAAATTTCATTACTTATTTGAAGTACAAATCATGTGTGCCAGCTGAAAGGTTGCGTTTGTCTATCTAACTACTATATTACTTTACGAATGTGAAATGTAAAGCTCATCTTTTTTTTTAGTTCTTAGGTTATACGTCAAATGAAGGAGATAGAAGAGCGACTGCGTGAAAAAAGTCAATGGATTATTACTGGTTATTGAAGTATGATGTTATAGAAACTGCGAATAAGGAATATGTAAGATAAATGCAGCTACGATCCTTCTGTACGAATTATTCCAATGCGGAGAAATATTGTGCAATTTTAAAGAAAGTGCAGAAAGCTGTTGCTCATGGAGATCGACTAAAATTTAATTTCCAGAAAGTTCTTAGTTTTAATGAAAAAAGCAATTCTGGACTCTCATTAAATAGTTAATGGTATGGTCAAACGTGGATGACCAAATCGTTAAACATTCACGATTCAACGATGTGGTCATTTTTTTTTTATTTTTTTTAATTTTACGATATGGCTACGACATTATATACGAATAATCCATTGAGATTTCTTGCACTGTCTCATGACTCTTGCAAATTTAATCATTTATTATCAACATCTTTTCATATCTGAATTGTTCATGAAAACAATCTGTTTCTGGAGCTGCTCGATTTCATCAGCTAGGTTCTCCTCTGTATTTTTCGTAGTTTCCTCTAGCGATATTTCTTGGACTTCCGATATCACAATGTTCTAAAATAATTATCCATTTAGAGGTGCCTCTTAAGAATAACATCGATTATAAAAAAACATAATACCTACCCAATTTACCTGTTAGGAAACGTTCTCACCGAAAGCAACCGGCGATCGCAACCACACCTCATTTCAAGGCTCCTTATAAGTACAACTTTACAACCCTCTTTAAAGAGGCACCATCTTCCAAAATGGCGGACTGCCAAATCGTACAATTAATCGCCTATACTCAACAACCAATGATTGAAACTCTGCTGCCTCTTAAGAATAACATCGATTATAAAAAAAACATAATACCTACCCAATTTACCTATTAGGAAACGTTCTCACCGAAAGCAACCGGCGATCGCAACCACACCTCATTTCAAGGCTCCTTATAAGTACAACTTTACAATCCTCTTTAAAGAGGCACCATCTTCCAAAATGGCGGACTGCCAAATTGTACAATTAATCGCCTATACTCAACAACCAATGATTGAAACTCTGCTGCTAAAATTTGAAACATTCCATGTGAAAAAATGTGATAATCTGATAATTTATTTAGGATATCCCATACCTTATTACACATTCAGATAGACTGTTACAAAATAAGGAGATAGATGTAATGTACTATATATATATATATAGTGTTTTAATGATTAGTTGTTGAGTTATAAATGAGTCAATATACGAAAACGTTCAATTTTGACAATCCGCCAGTCCGCCATTTTGCACGATGGTAAATCTTTACCCTAGGGTTATAAAATGCTGATAAGGAGCATCAAAGTTAGATATCAGATGACCCCCCATTCTATGCCGAGCCTCCATCCTGAAATTTTCAATTGCGACTCACTAACGGGGACCATTTTGAGGAGATCTGTATACCTACCCAGAGAGGGTGGATAAAGTAAGAAGACATAATTTTCTTGGTGTAGACAGAATAAAATAGCCAATAATAGTATTACTACAAATTCGAAATGTTTTGTATTGCCCATGTGTTATATGGAAATATATTTGCAAGCTATAGATTTTGAAACTTACTTGAAATATCGTAGATTTATTTTCTAGGGTTATAAAGTAGTCTCAACGAACTACAAAATGAGGTACACCCAACGAACTCACAATAGGAAGAAGGAGCCACTCTAGGATTTGCTTGTCTCTTGATTCTCATAATATGTAACGAGGATCAAATGCACTTGACATAAGTCAATTTTTTTGACAGCTCTATATTTTTATATTAAATTCATATATTTAGTGTTATCTTTAAAAAATAACATTGCCTGCAGATAATTCTGATGTTAGACGATTTCAAAACAGGCCAAACCAGGACAGTTTAGTAGTTTATTTATTGGCCAGTTGAATGGAATGGAATAAATGGCTGACGCAACAACTACGTCAATTCTTGAATTTAAACGTTGCGTAATTTCTGAATCAATATATAAAAGCGAAACTGTCACTGATATATAAATATTATATTCTGGTAGAAGTAAAGTAACTGCATTTACATAAATACTACATGCATAGAGAAGTTAATTCTTACCTTATTTGGATTTAGTGTTTACTTCATTTTTACATAACTAATAACAAAGAAACATAACATTTAGGTAACATTTATATATCTGTGTTTAGTGGGCAACGATCCTAGTGAGCAAACGTGGAATTACTGTTTGCACCCTAAAAACTACCTACATCCTATTTCACGAGTATCCATCACGCTTTGACGTCTACTGAGGTGAACAGCTGATCAGCTAGTGACATTTTTGTGTTAGTCTGCAACGTTGGCTATAATGAATCGGGTGTAAATCTAGCAAAACATTGTTTGTAGCGTTTTGTTTTTTATATGCAAATTAACTTTTCTAAGTAAAAGAGCCTTTAGCAAGTACAAAATGAATCTGAAGCGTACAAAAAAACTAAACAAAATGTGGCTCTGTCTACCTGGCATTGACGGATCCGTTAGAATTATGTGTTCCTTTGGCGATATGGGGAATTTTGAAATATTACTAGATAACCAGATGTCATTCTACCTTGATGGATACTGGTGAAAGATGACATTTTATAGGTTTTTGCCGTTTTATAGGTTTTTTTACATAATACCCGTGCCGACCTTGACACACTGCAAACGCGCGCCTATTACGCTTACGTGACAGCATGGTCAAGTCAATTCGCATCCAGCTATACTGCAGTCGATCATTAAAAAAATTGTCAAAAGTCCCAAATTTTACTAAGTGATCTGGTAAAGTGTTTTTTTTGTTGGATCGTTGATCACGAATTTGTTAGAATTATTGTATTTTCAAAATGACAGAACCTGTATACTGAGTCTGGTACCAAAAGGGATACAACTATTTCTGGAACAAAACTGCTTTTCTCAAAAAAATTAAATCGCAATTTAGGTTTTTAAAGAATATCATCTTGAGCCTTCATTAAAGCAATAAATAATCTGCTGGACGATGTTGACAAAGGGAAGTCTATCATTAGGAAAATGGCTATAAAGTTTACCAACTTGTATACTTGTGTTTTTTGTTGACTTGATCTGTCCTAGCCACTTGTATTTTTTAATAAACGGTATTTAGTTATAACGATATTTGATTACTTATCACTTAACAGAAGTCAGGGTAGCATCTCCCTAAACCTGAGGTAATATCTCCCAGTCAACTCGGGAGACACAAACTGTGCAAGATATCTACATAAGTCTTTAAGTAGTATCCAATTTTAGTCATGGCAATACACCCATTCAATAATGAAGCTATGTGCTCTTATGTGAAAAATAGGTCAAATGTCCCGGTTCTCCCCTACTTCTTACATAACTCGCAAAGAGCAGCACACGCCTAATGAAGGCAGATGTTTCTTCCGGTAAGTATTATTATTATGTTGATATAATGCTGTCACTTGGATAGGCATTCGTAGACAAATGCATTAGGCTCCTTCTAATCTATTCGAATTCATTAGGTACACCAGATCCCCATCCGTTAAAAAATGTTCCAAGATGGGCCCAGCTCCCATTTTGAAATGTTCAATTATCTATTTTACGCATCAATTGCATTACCCCGAATTTCAGCTTGCTAACATGACCTATTCAAAAAATAAGTAGGTAGTAGTAGTTTTTAAAAGCACTGTACGTATATTTAGTTATGTATTGTGAGTTTTATAGTAAATAAAAAATACATTCACAGATTGATTGTAAGATACATTACTTATGCGACTTTTCTTTCAGTAAGGACTTTTAGAAACCTAAATATATTCCGCCTATTGTTAGTAAGTGGCCAGTTGCTTTCTGTGAGAACTCAAAGCAACGCAATCGAAGTCGAAATCGGGTTGCAGTCGAGTTGCTTTTGGTAAGAACAGTGACATGGGGTAAATATATAGAGAAGATCGCAATAATGTAGTAATAAGCATATTTGAATGTATACTTTTCTAGTTAATTTTTTACTACCTAAGTAAAAGAAACTGGAATTCATCCCATAAAAATGAAACATTTTCCGTGCTGCTAGTTTCATGTTAAAAATGATATTGGAATTACAGTTATAACAAATTTCAAACTTTATAAATTTGCAAACTCACTTGCTTCCGTAGGGACCTAATCTTCTCTTCCAACATTTTAAGTTCATCCAATTTGTTATCGATTGCGTTTTGTATAAAATTTACCTCCCCTGTTACTTTTTCTTCTAATTCTTTACATTTCTCTGCGACTTTGTTAATTTCTGCTTCTCTTTTAATTGTTCTACTATAAATACTTGCTCTGATTTCATGCAGATTAACCTTGCGTTCTTCGTTTGAATATAGTTTTTTAGTTATATCATCTTGCATATCTTGTAGTCTCTGTATCTAAAATTATTCATTGTTTACAATATGATGGAAGTGTGCGGAAAATCCATTTTTCACTTCACATTGTTACCTGTATCTTGAGTCGATCTGCTTCATTCTCCAATTCTATTGAGTTGCTGATTGATTCATTTTGTTGCATTTTTAGCTCTTTAATATATTTGCTATCTCCATGATGTGTAGAAAAACGTTTGCTCTAAAAAATGAGAAATGTCACATAGAATATTACACATATTTCTTCTGAATTTGAAGAAAAAAATTGCATATGTGCTTAAAAGTGAAACAGCTTCATTACTTAGATTGAGATAAATTTCCGCTCAAGACCTTGGCGTAGTGAGATATAATTTAAAGATCAAGTAAAACCATTGTTTTTGAAACATTACTTCAAAATATGTTGTAGATTTTAAAATAGTGTTTAGTGTTTTTATCAATCAGTTTTTTTATTAATCTTGGCAGGTCCTCGACTGTTTTGAGATTGAAAACAATTAGCGCCTGAACATGAAACATTGTCCTCTTTAAACTTTGGACTTGATATGATGTCTTAGAAGCACCTGGCATCCTTAGTACTACAAATATTATCTAATCATTTTTGGAATATATATATTGTCAAGAATAAATTCAATGCCATAAGGACGAATTCAAAGATAACGTCTTATCTACTAGCATACTAATGTTGATGCATTTTACGCATATTGTATAGTATAACATTAAAAATTCCACTAACGAAAAATAAAAGTAAAGTATATTGCAATTTATCCGTGTATATTTGTAAATATAAGATTAGACTACGAGCGGGGATACGTTATTACTGATAATTGATTTCCTCATACGTTTATAGGAAAATTTGGATGGATCTATTTATAATAACGCGACGATCCTTGATTTTATTGTCTTGTAAATCTTCCATTGTGCCGTGAGCAAAAAAAAAATGACCCGGGATGTTCTTGTAGGCTAACATTGTTATTTTTTTGATTACAACATCCAATAGTAAAGACCAACTACAGGTATAGACACAACAGAACATATAGTACATGTAAATGTAAAAAGATAATAATAATTGATACTTCAAGAAATCGAAAAGATGCTTCATCTAAATATCAAGCTGGTTACTTATTCCATTGTAGTTTTCAGACCTCAAGTACAATGGAGAATAATGCAGATAACACAGCCCTACAAAAAAGGTCGAGATCCGTGGTATTCCTATGTATTTTTCAGCGCTGGATCCGAGTTCGAGGTCAGAAAAGTTTCTAGATGAATATATAGAATATATAATATAGAATTCACCTCCGGGCCCAAAAACTACCTCTAGTAGAGATGAAAATTTAGTTTTTGGAACTTGTCAAATAGATGCTTGTACCCCTAAAGTTCATCCCGGGCTAAAAACCACCCCTAGGAGGGATGGAAAATAAGTTTTGGATGCCAGATGCTGGAGTATTCTATTTCCATGTATTTTTGACGCTTAATCCGAATTTGTGCTCGAAAAGATCCCTACAAGCCTAGCGTTCACCTTTGGGCCCAAAAACTACCCCTAAGGTAGTTGAAATTTAAATTTCGGATCCCAGATGCTGGAGTATGGCATTCCGATGTGACGCTGAATGCGATTTGTGGTCAAGAAGACACTTGTACTCCTAGAGTTCATCCCGAGCCAAAAACTACCCCTAGAAAAGGTGAAAATTTAGTTTTGGTTGCCAGATGCTGGAGCATGGTATTCCCATGCTCAATCCGAACTTGTGTTCGAAAATATGCCTGCACCTCCAAAGTTCGCCCCGGGCCCAAAACTACCCCTAAGGGGGTGAAAATTGAGTTTCGGATCTCAGATGCTGGAGTATGGTATCACTATGTGTTTTATGATGCTGAATCAGAAATTGTGGTCGAAAAGATACCTGCACCCCTACAGCTCTCCCCGAGTCAAAACTACCCCTAAGAGGGATGAATATTGAGTTTTGGATGCAAGATGCTTAAGCACGGCATTCCCATGTATTTTTCGACGCTGACTCTGAATTTGTGGTGGAAAAGATCTCGACACCCTTGAGTTAACCCCGGGCCCAAAGACCACCCGCAGGAGGGGTGAAAATTGAGTGAGCTTCGGATGGCATATGATGAAGCATGGTAAACCCATGTATTTTTGACGTTGATTCTGAATTTAGTTTAAACAAAATTTCTACACCCCTGGAATTCGGAGATTGTACAAGCAGGGATACTCGTGTTGTGTATGTAAGTCTGTGTGTCTGTCGGTCTGTCTGTCGAGCAGTCTGTCGGTCTGTCTGTCGGTCTGTCTGTCGGTCTGTCTGTCGGTCTGTCTGTCGGTCTGTCTGTCGGTCTGTCTGTCTGTCTTTCGGTCTGTCTGTCTTTCGGTCTGTCTGTCTTTCGCTCTGTCTGTCTTTCGGTCTGTCTGTCTTTCGGTCTGTCTGTCTTTCGGTCTGTCTGTCTTTCGTTCTGTTTGTCTTTCGGTCTGTCTGTCTTTCGGCCTGTTTGTCGGTCTGTTTGTCGGTCTGTTTGTCGGTCTGTCTGTCGGTCTGTCTGTCGGTCTGTCTGTCGGTCTGTCTGTCGGTCTGTCTGTCGGTCTGTCTGTCGGTCTGTCTGTCGGTCTGTCTGTCGATCTGTCTGTCGGTCTGTCTGTCGGTCTGTCTGTCGGTCTGTCTGTCGGTCTGTCTGTCGGTCTGTCTGTCGGTCTGTCTGTCGGTCTGTCTGTCGGTCTGTCTGTCGGTCTGTCTGTCGGTCTGTCTGTCGGTCTGTCTGTCGGTCTGTATGTCGGTCTGTCTGTCGGTCTGTCTGTCGGTCTGTCTGTCGGTCTGTCTGTCGGTCTGTCTGTCGGTCTGTCTGTCGGTCTGTCTGTCGGTCTGTCTGTCGGTCTGTCTGTCGGTCTGTCTGTCGGTCTGCCTGTCGGTCTGTCTGTCGGTCTGTCTGTCGGTCTGTCTGTCGGTCTGTCTGTCTGCCTATCTGTCGGTCGGTATGTCTGTCGGTCTGAATGACTGGGAACATACCTCGCTATTTTCCAGTATTTCTGCTTTCAAGCTATTCAAAGTTCGTCTTATCTTCCCAAACTCCAAATTCGTATCTGATTCCTTCAGTTTTGCCACAAGCAACTCATCTTGCCATTTGCTTATGCTAGTTACAGGTTGTGCTTTGTTTAAGGTAGCGACGTCCTTTTCTAGACACCCTTTGTAATCCTCCAAGACTTCAATAAGTTCTTCTTGCTCGGCTATTTTCAGCCTGGTCTCTGTCAGCTTCTTCTCTAAGCAATCGACTACATTAGATTTGAAGTCCAGGTTTTCGTGAATTGGTTTCAAGTCATTGGCTCCTGAGTTTGTCTACAAGCAGAATAAACATTTAAAAAATGTTTTTTTCTACCAGTCACAACTCATTTGAGTTTATTTTTGGGCTTTAAGGTTTACCCCTATCTGTCTACTGCGTTCCTCAAGATCTTTTACATCGCAGCAGCCACGCCTAAATATCAGGGCAGCGCAGCTGCTTTGGTTATCCGATTTTTGAACTGCCATGTAAAAGAACAGGGAGAAGCCTCCTCATGTAGATTGTTCTACAATCTCGATATCCTAGCGACAAAAGAGCGGTCATATCGGCCAGTTCTGGAAGTAAGAAATTCAACACGGTTACGATGCGAGGCCGGCCGGATGTCTGGCAGGCACATCGAAACCGGATGTGCACTAGGATCCCACTTATTTTTCAAGGTGCTAGTCTCATTTTTTCCAGCTCACCGGCATGTAGAGTATTGTCATCAGCAAAACTGTGGATTGGATTGATTGTACAGGAAAGGAGGTCGTTGATACGTAAGAGGAAAAATGTCTGAGAAAAGACCGATTTCTAGGGAACACCCGCGTTGACGTTCTGGGATGAAGAAGATAACCCGACAATTACGTTGGATATCCTGAGTCCAGAAAGAATGTCGCCACCGATCTGCAAAGCTTCTCTGGGAGGCCATAGGATGGAAGTAGGAGGGCAGGAGCAACGACATGAGCCTCACCATAAAACTGGAAGAGTTTACTTCGCAATTTTGTGGCGTAAACTAGGAGGTGCCGGAAACCATACTGCCTATCTCTAATCAAGTCGTGACGTTCTCCAGAAGCTCCAGACTTATAACAAAAAGCAGAGCTATAACCCTGTAGTTGTAAGGGTCCGTCTTAGATCTTTTTTTGGGATCAGTTGGACATGAGCAGATTCCGACTTTTTTGAGAAGGTGCCGGATTCGTAAGACATCTGGAAGAGCTGGAGCAAGCCCCGCTGCACACCTCTTCACACCTACATCTGCAGGAATAAAGTCTGGACCAGAAGCTTTGTGGATGTAGAGCAACAAGAGTGTAGGGAACCATTTGAATCGACGGCACTTGGGCGTTGGGGGACGTCCATGATGGAGTTGTCAGCAAAGATCTTGCCAAGCACTTGCGCCTTTGAGTCGGTTACAATCGTTCCACCCTGGCATGTAAATAGTGGAAGGCTACTCTGTGAAAAGTACTTGGCCAGCGTCCAGAAAGACCGACTGCCATTGCACTGCGACATGACCCTGTGCCTAATTCAAATATCGTACTGGTGTTTGGCGTTGCGGACCGCTTCGTGGTATTTCTTTCTGGGCTCGACGTCGGCTTGTTTGTCCTCTACAGTGGGGTTCTGTGTGCCTTATTTGTCTGCTGACCAGCAGTGTCGTACGATTTGTTGAACCAATCGTTAGACCCTGGTTTAGGCATTTTCACTGTATGCCTCCTTCTCAACGTAGATAATTTCGACGACGCATCCATGTTAGCGAAGCAAACATCTCTCCAAGGAAAGCTGAAGAAAAAGTCTCTGAGCCCTCCCAGTCGGCATGTCCTTAATGCCAAATTTTGTGGCCTCTTTCCGGTTCTGACCTAAATCTAACCGCCACAACACCGTGGTCTGAGTTACAGAGAGGATAGAGGACAGCAGTGCTCCAAGGGATAGGATACATGGTCAGAAAAATATCCTGCAGGCTACTGGCGGGTGATGAAACGCGGAGCGAAAAAGTTGGGCTCATCACCAGCTGAGTCAGTGCTTGGGTAATAGTTCACGCTTCAACTCCAACCAGAGTTCGTTATGGATATTGAACTCAGCGAGGTATTCAAGTAGGTGATCACAGTTTTTGTCCGAGGGAGAGCGATCAACGCAGTAAATAAATTTGGGGGAAATTACAGAATGTCATTCCGGTCTGATTCCAAAGAAACATCTCTGTAGCACGAAATACAGCTGCGGACAAAACACAAAACTCCCCCGTTGTTCTCCAGATTGGAGTGAACCTCGTAATTTGGGAAGCTCAGATGATTAATCGGTGCAGAATCTGAGACTTTTATCTCCGCTAAGAAAAGCATGGCGGGACGATTAGACTGCAGGTAGTGGTGAACAACATCAATGTTGCTAATATTCCCGCAGATGTTCGTGAAATAAATTTTATCATCGATGTTGTTTCCTCGAGTCCACCCTCCACCCGGACATTCCGAGAATGGAGTGAGTTCACGTCCGAGATTCTTAGTACTCGAGGCGTTCATCATCATTAATTTCCTTGTTTGGAAGGGAAGATAACCGACTGCATAGCTTAGGTGTGGAAACAAGTCATTCAAAGACCGCCTCAGTCGACTGGTCGTTGTACCACACCTTCTTTTTGCTTGTTAATGATTTTAAATAGACTGTTGGCGGACTTGAATACATCAAGCATTTGCCACGGCCCCGCTCAGTAGGGGTAAAAGATATTCAAAAGCTGTTACCTGGACAACAAAATCGCATTAATTCTCTTCCAAGATTGACATAATTGTAGGAACTTGGTCTCTTGGACAAGCTGCGCGACTTAAGTTTGGCCAATTCAGTTTGACACATGGAGTTGAATAACATTACTACTACTACTAATATGTCTGCTGTAACTTAAACATTGTTTGGGAACTGCTATAACTTTAAATATACAGTGTGGCGGCAGAGAGGACGGACGTTTTTGGGATGGGTAGTACTCTCCGCCTCCGTCTACGAAAGGGGTGGGGAGGGTGCCGTTTGACTCGTGAGATCCTAGTATTATTTTACCAGTTATCGTTATGGAGTAATGGACGGTGGAGCACCGCGTTTTCGCTTATGATTGTTTCGTCCGAAATAATGAGTCATCGTCGTACAGCGTGAGTTTCCTCGCCACTTCAACATTCATCGGAATAGAGCTGTTCCCTCTCGAAACACCATCCTTCGTTGGGTTGACTCACTTCGCAGGCGTGGTGAATTGATCAACAGCGCCGCGAACAGTTCGAACTCCTGAAAATGTTGAACGCTTTCGACAGGTCTTTCTTCGCAATCCGACTCGATCTGCCCGGAAACATGCTGCTGCACTTCGCCTTAGTGATCGTTCGGTAAGGCGAATTTTGCATATGGATCTCCGCTTTCACCCCTACAAATTGGCCATTGTGCAGCAGTTACAGCCCGGAGATTATGCCCAACAAATGAACTTCGCACGTGATGGAAGCACTGATCGGTCAAAATGAGAACCTCATTTTGTTTATGAGTGACGAAGCCCACTTTCACCTAAACAGCAGAATTTTCATTATTGGGCTAATGAAAATCCGCAACAGTTACACGAAAGACCGCTGCACAGCCCAAAAGTAACGGTTTGGTGCGCTGTATCGCAAAGTTGCATCATTGGCCCTTACTTCTTCGAAGACGGTAATGGTCGTGATGTTACCGTGAACTCAGGGCGCTACGTCGACATGATCACCAACTTCTTTCTCCCTGAATTACGACGGCGACTTGTTCCAATCCGACGTGTGTGGTTCCAGCAGAATAGGGCGACCGCCCTCTCTTCCCTGGTCGCCTTATTTCCAGGTTTCCATGTTCATTGGCCTCCTCGGTCCCCAGATTTATCCATGTGCGATTTTTTCTTATGGGGACACCTCAAGGCTAGAGTATACGCGAACAAACCCCGAACTCTGGACGAATTGAAGGGCGAAATTGGCGTGGAAGTCGCCCAAGTTGAGAGAGCGATGTTGGAGAGAGTCTACGCGAACTTCCAAGAACGCCTTCAGCAGTGCATCAACGATTTCGGCCACCACATGCCTGATGTGATCTTCCACACTTGACTGTCTCAAATGCTATTTTCTTGTGAACCTGATTCCATCAATAAATTTTGTTTTCGAGTAAAAATTAACTATTTTATGATTTTTTTTAAAACCGTCCATCCTCTCTGCCGCACCCTGTATATACAGGATGCTTGGAAGGTCGATACAAACCTTTTCGGGGATGTGAAACAGAGACGTGACAATGCATGGGATATATTGGTTTACATTTTAAAATTACTATAAAGTGGTTTACTTTAGGCAAAACGTGTTTCATGGTTTTCCATAATTTTAATGAGTTTCTGATTGTTCTGATCCTTTCTTATACTGAGGAAAAAATGTGGTTGTATCACTTCGTATGATAGACCATAAGAAAGAGCAAAGTGGAAAAATTATTTTCATCGATTTTTTTTTCAAGAAGCCATGATACACTGCAAAATCGAATCTTTCAAAATATTATTTTTAATAACGTGTAAAAGTTCTTTCGGTAAATTGGAAACTATTTTAATAGGAAGATAAATGAGAAAACTAACAGAACAAAAGAATTGATCTTCATTATTGAACTAGCGCGATGGTTTTTTTTGAGGATTTGCGTGTAACATAAAAACGGTTCGACTGTTTACTGAGGTATATGCGGCTTAATTTGCTCCAAATGCTGTGTACTATCTCCCCTTAAAAAGTTGGTATCATGTCGAACACCCTGTGTATACAAACAATCAATTGAGATTTCTAGCACTCTCTCAGGAATGAAAATTTACCGATTTTTACACGTTTGAATTATTGACCGTAAGACGGGTGCTCTTCTAGCTCCACATCAACAAAGCTTACGGACTTTGTTCCTGAAATTGTATTGAAGAGGTGTGAAGCGGAGCTGGCTCCAGTTCTTTCGCATCTCTTCCAGCTATCCCACGATTCCGACACGATTCCAGAAAACTGGAAATTGGAAATTTGCTCATGTCCAACCCATCCCAAAAAAGGATCTAAGACAGACCCTTATAAATACATATAGCTCTGCTTTTCGTTGTAAGTAAGGTGATGGAGAGGTGCATAAATCACGAGCTTCTGGACTACCTCGGATGTGATGGCTTGATTAGCGACAGGCTGTATGGTTTCCGGTACCAGCTTGTGTTACATCACACAATTGTGGAGTAAACTCATCCAGTCTTATGGTGGCGCTCATGTCGTTGCTGTTGATATCACGAAAGCGTTCGATCAGCTGTGGCGCGCTGCCCTCTTATGCGAACTTCCATCCTATGGCCTTCCAGAGAAGCTTTGCAGATGGGTGGCTGACATTCTCTCTGGCCGCAAGATATCCGTCGTAATTGACGGGTTCTCTTCTTCATCCCACATCGTCAACGCGGGTGTTCCCCAGAGATCGGTCTTGGCTCCGATACTGTTCCCCTTAGATAACAAGGAACTCCTTTCCTGTCAAAGTTCAGTTCGGTTGGTCGGAGTCCGGATCACCGAGGTCTTGATCTGGCACGAACATATCTCGTGGATAGCGGCAAAAGGGGAAAAGCTAGACTATTTGTTTAGGGCTAAGAAGTACTTTTCTCCATATGACCTTCTCACTCAATACAAGGTCCACATAAGACCTAGCCTCGAATATTGCTCACACGTTTGGGGTTCTGCCGCCCACTACATTATTTATGGTCAATGCTGTCCAGAGGAGGGCTCTCCAACTGATTGATGACTCTGCTTAAAACAGTCTCGGCGCTCTTTTGCACCGGCGGGCCGTCGACGATCTAGCTCTCTTCTACCGCTACACCAACCGGCTCTGCTCTTCAGAGCTCTCCTCCATGGTGCCGCTGCGAGATGTGCCTGCCAGTCAGACCTGCATGACTTCAGCCTCAAATCCATACCTGTCGTACATCCATAACTGGCCGATACGCTCCTTTGTCCCGAGGTTATCGAGATTGTGGAACAATCTACAAGAGGAAGCTCTTCCCAGATCAATCAACCTTAGGCAGTTCAAAAATCGGGTTAACAAGATTTCTTTGGGATCCTCGTATCAGCCGCGGTGTCCTGGCATTTAGGCTTTTGCCTGGGCGGCTGATTCGGTATAAAAAATATGTGGCTATATTTTTGAAAGAAACTGCCAGGCATGTTAACTTTGATATCCTGCTCTAAGTTACAAGAAAGGACACCTAACAACATGGAAAACATAGCATAGTCGAAAGGATTGAAATCATCATCAAGAACTTTGAATGGGCTTCCGTCTAATACCTGTATACAAAAAATCTCATCACTGAGCGGCAACTATTAGAGAACTCAACCCTACTTACCTTATCGTCATTTAAATAAGCTTGAATCACATCAAGTCTTTCAATACAAATCCTCAAGTGTTCCTCGGCTTTTTGAGTTGTTTTCCTTTGTTGCCTCAACTCTTCTTGTAATGCATTGAGGTCATTTTTATCATCGATGATTTTCACCTGACTAGCTTTGAATCTCTCAATCAGCTCATTGTGTTCGCGTTCAAGTCCTTTGTGCTTAGCAGCCAAGGTAACATTGTGCTCCTTAGCGCGCTTGATTTTAGAACATTTTTCAAGTTAGTGTGAAATATAGGAAACAGTTTGAAATCTGTTTTTTCGTACACAAATTATAAGCCTCTTAAGTAGTTTTCAAGCTAAGCATAAGACTGTTGATTTGAGAATTGTTAAAAATTACAGCTTAATACTGCTCATTTCAAGTGACCAGAAACTTGAAGACTTCGAAAACCGAAGATTGTTTCCTTCAACGCTAGTCTCCATTTTGTTGTGACTCAAAAATTGACATCGATTCGAAAACTATCGTAAACTGAAGCGTGGACGCATTCAGCATTCTCCGTTTGGTACTCTCTGAGTTCTAGAGGGATCAACAGTCCGGACAAATAGATGAAATGGGTATCATGACTTTTGTTGGGGTTTGTCGTGATATACATATCATACAACACCCATAAAACATCCTTAATTAGAAATTTTTCTGAATTACAATAATTGTCTCTCCTATTATTGGCGTAAACGTACAACGGTGTCACGTGCCAAAATCACGTAAACTTTTTTTACTATTTTGACCACTTACTATAGTAATTTGAATTTCTCTTTATTAATGGTAGAATGCCCATTCCTAGGCCAAACCCTTTTCAACGATTTTCTTTTAGTAAAATTCAGAGTTTATTGTTTGTATAATTTCACACGTATTATATCTATCTTTCTCAGTGATTCAGTATTGTGTTGAATCTTTTGGATACCAATGTTATAGTATTACTAACGACTATTGGCAATCAGCAGAAAAACTCCGTTATTTGGTTTCCTATCGAACATATCTTCTTCAAGGCCACTCATTGAACCTTCCTTTATAAAGTGTCAGTCACTTTCCTCCTGAGATTATGGGATATTAGGTGCCGAACACCAGTTTCTAGAGTAGTACCTTACGTTTAGTTGTTTTGGTTTGGGTGCTACCACGTCCATTTTCTTAGCGGATTTTAATCTTCAACGGTAAGTTTTTTTCTTATACCACGTGCATGAATGCATGTCCTGAAGAAATTTGTTCAATATCTATTTCCTTTCAATGGGAGGGCATTGCGGAGAACCACCACACTCCTCCAGCTTTGTTTTGCAGCTGCCTTGTAGCTGTTTTGCAGTTGATATTGCCGGAAGACACTTCTTCCCTTTGCCAAAAAAAAAAACCCTGACGTGAACAGGTAAAATATCATTTTTATTAACAATTTTATAGATATTATATATTTATATATTGATTATTGCTGAGTGAAATTCTTAGAGTACTTGATTTTGTTTGTCATTTTACGTATTTAAATATGGGGCAGTGCCTACATAGCACCTTCTATTGGGCATTACATTACGTTGATCATAATTTTGATTTTCAGCTGTCATAACTTTATTTTAGAATAAGGAATAACGTTCTGATGGTATATCACTTCAATAACGAAGGCTTTACAGATATTTTAGCGCCTAACCCTAAACGTATCTGGGTTCAGGTCTTCTCCTAGTGACAGCTCTAGGCGCAGCCGAGATCTCCACAACTCACAATTTCTGAGCTAGTCGTTAGTAATACTATAACATGAGTATTCAAAAAAAAAACGGTGGGCAGTAGTGGGCACGTCACAAGGTTGCTTGCCTCGCTTTTCAAAATTTATGGTATAACCAGGAAAAAAATGTAGATGGTTTTTCTTCAAGTCCGAGTGTTTCCAATGAGTAGTTTTGTCTCGTTCAGAGAGTAGAGAGTAGATTTTTAAGCAGTCTGTTTTTGCCTTTGCTTTACTTTCCTTGTAAAAAAATGTTCTAAAGTGATATATCCTCAGAAATTTATCCCTTGTTCTAAAATAAAGTTATGGCAGCACAAAATCAAAATCATGATCAACGTAATGTAATGCTCATTAGAAGGTACCATGTAGTGTAGGCACTGCCCCATATTTAAATACGTAAAACGCCAACCAAAAACAAGTACACTATAAGAATTTCAGTCAGCAATAATATGTATAAAATAGTTAATCAAAATAATATGTATATATTAGCTATTCACATCAGGGGGAAGGGGTGGCTTACGGCAATATCAGCTGAGAAACAGCTACAAAACAAAGCTGGAGGAGTGTTTGGTGGTTCTCCGCAATGCCTACCCACTAAACGGAAACAGATATTGAACAAACTTCTTCAGGACATGCATTAATGCACGTGGTACGATGGTATATGAAAAAACCTGACCGCTGAAGATTGAAATCCCATAAGAAAATGGCCAATACTTGGACCCTAGAAAACCAACTTTGGAGGACAAAGGATATTTTATGACGAAATTTCTGAGCTAGTCGTTAGTAATACTATAACATTAGTATTCAAAAGATTTCAACACAATATACTGAATCACTGAGAAAGATAGATATAATACAGGGTGTAAACGTTATGATAGTCATTATTTAAATGGATGATAGAGGGGGTTAGGTCAGAACGGCATTTTTTTAGAGAAAAGCGACTTTAAAGTAAAATACATCTGACAACGCCGCAAAACTATGCAAAAGGATAACAAACTAACCACTGTTACCGTTTGAGATCGATTGCCGGTTCAATAAGAGTGACTTTTGGAGCATCGGTCATATGAACTTTTTGACTTGTTTTGACCCCCCCCTATTACGCATTTCAATAATCACTACCATAACGTTTACACCCTGTATGTTACGTGTGAAATTATACAATCAATAAACTATGAAGTTTATCAAAAGAAAATCATTGAAAAGGTGTTGGCCTAGGAATGGGCACTCTACCAATAATAAAGAGAAATTCAAATTACTAGTAAGTGATCAAAATAGTAAAAATAAGGTTAAGTGATTTTGGCCCGTGAGCATTTTAACACTATGGTATAGGATTCGGCACCAGCCTTAATTTTATTGGTCAATTTCAACTTATTCAACCAATAACAAGCCGGGTGCCGAAATCACTACCGGAATGTTAAACAGTGCTGAGCATGGGGTCAGAATGTTATCAATTTAAATTTAAATTTACTTACCTTCCGCTAAAAATACGTAAGATAATAATCAACGCACGTTGTTTCCTATTACGATATTTAATGATTTTAAAATTAATAATTTGGTTTAGCAATAAGAAAAATTACATGAAAAATTTATATATATTTATAGAGGTGAAAAATTAAAGCTTCCGCCTTTTTTTGGGTACTTCGACAAAATTTAAGCAAGGAGGACTCTTTATACTTTTTTTATTCTCTCTAGCTTTCAATGGCCTTTGCCATCATCATCAGGAGAGTAGTATGTGAGGATGTTGCTAATTGTTGTTTACGTTAAGGATGAGGGAAACACTCAGTAACATGGTGAAAGCTGGATAAATGGTACAATAGTCAAAATTATATAAAATAGCATACAGCTGTATGACAAGAACGAGTTAAAAACAGATCAAAAAATTTTTTAGAAATTGAAAGTTAAACATTACATCGTGAAGCCGCTTGATGATTGCACAAAATGGTGGGCATGTTACTGGGTGTTTCCCTCATCCTTAACGTAAACAACAATTAGCAACATCCTCACATACTACTCTCCTGATGATGATGGCAAAGACCATTGAAAGCTAGAGAGAATAAAAAAAGTATAAAGAGTCCTCCTTGCTTAAATTTTGTCGAAGTAGCCAACACAAGGCGGAAGCTTTAATTTTTCACCTAACTGGTCTAGACGACAATGACCACGTCTCAAGTTATATTTATATATATTAGTAGAAGCAGTTTATTGATAACATTCTGACATTGTTTTCAGCACTGTTTAACATTCCGGTAGTAATTTCGGCACCCAGCTTGTTATTGGTTAAATAAATTGAAATCGACCAATAAAATTAAGGCTGGTGCCGAATCCTATACCATAGTGTTACAATGCGGCCCGTGACAACGGGTTGCATTGTTTTGGTGGCAGAAATAAATAATCTCATTTTCATATTTTTCTAATTCCATAATATGATATCACAAGTCAGTGTTTTGCAAGCTCAATTTTCTTCCGATTTTCGAGTATTTCCTGACATTTATTTATCATGTTTATAGCACATTTGAAAAAAAAGATATTATAACTGCGTAGATTTGACAGTCCTTGATTTTGGAAGCTTCATTTCGAAAATGACAACATTTAACACATAAAAGCAACAACCAATAGCGTTATAAACCATACTTTATTTGGAAATTGGAATATATACATATCGAAAACTGCATGCTATAGATAACCTAAAAATTCCAAACTATTTTATGTATAAACGAATTGAAAAACATAATTTGCTTATACATATTCTTAATGACATAAAGGCTAATGAATTCATTATTATCTTACATGATGGTATCTTATTGTTGATCTCAAACAAGCAGTCAAAAACAGATGAGTCGAGTTTAAGTTTAAATGCTTATAAACACACATTACAAGGATGCTGACCTTTTAAGAACTAGTTGGTAAAGAGGAACCACACAAATTTAGATAGATCAGATAAAATATATGAAAGTCCGTACCTTTAACTCGAAATTGGTGTTTTCCGAATTTTCCTCCAGCACTTTTTGTATATTTTCCTCAAACAGCCACATACCTGGTATGAGTAATACGATTTCAGCAATGAAAACACGTCGTATTACGCGATAACAAAAGCATGTGAAACACGTTCAGGATCACCTTGTTTGCTTTCGCTATCGCTAAAAGGTAACCGCGATCATCGAGCGCTGTTGAAATAAAATAACCAGTTTTTGCTGACGATGTATCGTTTTATTTCAAATAATCCATAACCAAAAAAAGTTCATACAAAATAAATCTGCCATATAAAATATATGATACATATGCATGGAATTTATATAACGTAAATTTAATACTTTTACAACTGAAATACGATGCAGACGAGATTTATGGATCTATACGAGGGATAACAGAAAAGTTCTAACAGTGCCAAGAGAGTGATAAAATGCAATTTTGACCAACCACTGGATGGTATTTTCCTTTTTCCTGCAGTGAAACTGTTGTTTTCGTTATTCTTGATGTATTATTGAAATAGTTTCATAACATGAACAAGAAACTGCTTGCGTATGAATGACCCGTTCAGTTTCAATTTTAAAAGTTACTTTAAGGGAGAATCAGATATCAAATACATCTTACCCAGTCGGAAGAAGTGAAGAGACATTTTGCGAATCTTGAGAAGTTTGGGCCTGATTCCATAATTAGGAAAGATATCTCTAAATAGATTTTTCGAAATGATAAAGAAATGTACAAATTACAAGATCACTTGAATCTTGAAATACAATTCAAAGATCAGCAAGTCATTTACGGAACGTCACATACCTCGTGATTTAATTTCTTGTCAGCCCTCGTAGAAGGTTGTAAATACCATGTAATTAGAGACTATTTACTTCAATAATTTGTGATGAACAGCTATTATGATCAGGAACATATTTAAATACCTGTAAGTGTGCGTCATTTTTACATTTTTGAATCATCTAACAGCTGTTACTAAGGAAAAATTCGATGTTCTATGCAGAATGTCTCTTAGTTACATAAATCCTAAAGACAAAACTACTTTTGTTTATAGGGCGATTGAAACTTGCTTTGATGTGGTCGTAAGTCATATTTTTATGCTAATGACCACTGTGTAGATCTATTTGGACTGTAATTGAATATATTTTCCCACTACTATGCTTGATTCAACTTCTACATAAAAATTGGTCTATTGTTCAATAATATTTGGCCTATCATCATGTATTTGTTTATATCAGAAATATTTTTAGATATGTTTACAAATAGTATGTATTAAGCAGAAATAACGATAATAAATGCCAGTTATTGTAAACTGATATAACTTTCCCACATTAGTAAAAATGACACAGAAAAAAGTCAACATTTATTTCAATGCTATTAATGGTTTTTTTGTTATATAATCTCTACAAACATTTAAATTCACATCTAGGTCTTTTGCATCCGCAAAACTATCAATGTTTTCAAATCAAATGACAGAAACTGCTAAGGAGATTCCAAAACATTCAGCAAATGGAGGCAAATATATGTGAAGGCATATGAATCTATACCATTATTCATATTTTGACATCAATAATGGAGTTTGAATAAGTTATTGTTAAATGTAATGCTTTTTTTAAACCAATCAATAAATCATAAGCTTAATGATGTCAAAATCCAAGTTTGGCGCTACTATACAACAAATTCATAAGTCTTAGTTCCGGCCGCAGCTTGCTTTGTGCGGTTTCTGATACCAATAATGCTTGACTTTGAGGTAAAATTACTGATCCGAGTCAAGACCACGTATCAGAGGATATTCAGAACCTGTCTGAAAAGAACCCTGAATATTTGGAAAACCTTGAGTCGTTTACTCAGACGAACTGGCTTGTCATTTGACATGAAAGACGGTATAGTTAACACAGTTATTGATATTAGAAAAGTTCACTATGTCTAACATATCTCGCAAGTCATAAGATACACTATAGCACTGACTGAACGATCATGTCCACCCATAAAGTTTATTTTTCGTAAGCTTAGTGTATATTTGGTATAAGTCTGTATGACAAAAAAATCATTTGCTGCTTATAAATTAGTTCATTTGGTTTCTTATTGCAGAATAATCGATTAAGGTGAAGTATGTCTGCACCAAGCTACCAGTTAATCAATGGTTCCATTATTGCAAATTAATTGTTTCAAAGGTTTTACCTTTTACTATAACTGTTTCCCATGGTGTTATCCCACTTCTCTCTATACTCCAATCATATTAGCAAATTTCCCCAAAGTAGTTGTAAAGTCTGGTTTTATTGGTACAAGTTGTTCAAGGGGGTATTTAAAACAACGACGCACAAAAAAAGATTCAATCGAAAGTGTTGACAGGAACGAAAAAACTTTTCTTATAAGATATTTAGGTATTTATGAGACTTACGAAATGAGACCACACGTAAAAACATCCGAATGATAGCAAAAATGTTATTGCCGAAAAACGAGGCAAAATGCAGGTTTTGGCATTTGTTGGTGATGCGACGATAATTTCAAGCAACTACTTGAAATTCTACAAATCCGTAGGATCATACTTCTAAATAACAGCAACAAAATTGGGGTATATTGGTCAAGTAGTTTTTTGATAATTTCAAATTGTTCATCCCAAAACACCTGTTTTCACTACTAGTTGATTGAGCAATATACAGGGTTCGTTCCAAGAGCATTTAATAGCAAAATACACGTGTTTACCTTGACGATATGAATCAAAACAAATTCAAACATTTCGTATTTGTGAGTACATAATTCAACTAATCCGCTACGGTATTCGAAAAATATACGTTACTATACACATTTTAAAACAAAGCAGATGTGTCTATAACCTTTTGTTGCTATTTAATCATAAATACGAAATGTTTGAATTTGTTTAGAAGAAAAAACGTTACCCAATGGTTTACGATTCATATCGGCAAGGTAAGTGTATTTTGCTATTAAATGCCCTTTGAACTAACCCTGTATATTGGGACAAGCAACTAGAAATTCTCAAAAACTGCTTGACCAACCTACTTAAATTTTGTCGTGGTTGTTCAGAAGTACGAATCCTACGAATTTGAGGAATTTCAATTATCTGCGAGAAACAATCGTCGCATTACCAACAAATGCCAAAACCTGTAGTTTGCTTCGGTTTTCGGCCATAACTTTTTTGCTATTAGTCGGATCTTTCTTCGTGTGGTCTCATTTTGAACGCCTCATAAATTCCTAAAAATCTTATGAGAAGAGTTTTTTCGTTCCTGCCAAAATTTTCGATTGAATCCCAAAAAACACGTTTTCTCATTCTTTGTTGACGAATAAAAAGTTTCACCACAAAAATTGGTATACCCATTTTATGCGTGGATATTTTGAATACCGCCTTGAACAACTTGCATCAATAAAAAAAAGCTTTACAATTATTTCGCAAACCAGAGGTATGTTCGTCTAATATGATTAAACTAGTACGACCGATGATGGTTCAATATACACGCCGTTCCTTAATCATATGTATGTATGTAAAAAACGTCTCATCTTTCGAGATACAGGGCGCTAAAGTTTTTAGAAAAAAAATATATATTTCGAAATATCTGTGATATGATACTATTGTAGATATCTTTATAAAATTTGGTACACGTCTTTCTCTTTAAATAAAAACCTTTTTTGAATTCTTCATTCATTTCTGAGCAAAGTTGATCTCTTGATTTTCTTTCGTCTGGCACATGGTTTTAGTTTTAAACAACAAAAATCGTTTTACTTCAGGGTCAAATCGCTGCGCAGAAATCGATTATGCATCAGCTAAAAGAAAAATAAGTGATCAAATTTGGTCAAAAATGAATAAGAATTCAAAAAATATATTTTTCTTATTGGATGTACCGTTATTCGCAAATTAAAATGGCTTCACAGCAGTCACCGAATCAGACTTTTAGCGATCTGACCCTGAATTATAACGATTTTTTTTTTTATGCGAAAACCATGATACGGAAAAAAGAAAATAATGATATCAAATTTGCCTAGAAATGAATGCAGATTTCAAAGATGGTTTTTATTTAAAGAGAAAGCAGTGGCGTACCAATTTTTCTCCAAAAATATTCAACGCAAAACCCGTAGTGACGTCACTGGTAGCAATATAATAATCAAATTATTTGAACAACAGAAAACATAATGATGATACATAAAAGATGGGTACCGAATTTTCTAAAGATATCTGAAATAGTATCACAGATATTTCAGAAAAATTTACTGCCCTCTATCTCAAAAGTCAAGACATTTAGGACATATGTGCATAAGATTTTTTTAAAATGGGTTCATCAATCACCTCCTTAGGTATTAGCATGCCATTAAGAAATACCCTGCATTTATTAACGGTTACCAAATATACACTACCTTCCATACTGTATTGATAACATTCGAAGAATAAGGTTATTTCAAACTGAATGAACAATTCAAACAATGTAATATACTCAATTCAACATGTGCACATATTGGGTACACATTACTAGCCTTTTCAACAGCAATGATGAGCAATTAATTATTTCCACAAGATTTGATGTTTCAACAATGCACAATTCAATTGTATTCAAAATACCCTTAATCAGTTTATCGAAAGAAAATTAAGTACATAATCGCTAAATAAATACTATTTTTTAATATAAAAATCATCTCTAATATCACACTTAAAAAATAAAATTATTCTTTTATGTATCAGTAAAAAACATAAATAAACATATTAAAAATATAAATTTCACTTTTTTAAAATTGCACACATAAAACGGAATCTTCAACAAACATTTTTTTAACCCTAAACCCTGCATTTTATAGAATACAAAGTTATCTATTTACATCTACCTTATACATATATCGAATCACATACTTTGACCAGGTAGGTCCTAACTAGCGCCAAAATTTTAATGAAATGATGGGTTTTCTACAATTATTATTTAGTTATTTTACTCGTATAAACTTGTCATTTATAAATACTTATGGATATATTGCACTAAAAGTACAAAAAAATCTCACTTCACAAGTAGTCATACAAAAAATTCTAGTTAATATGGGGCAGCAACAGCTATTCTGAAAATTGTGTCAATTATACGATTTTCCAGAGAGTTAATTAATTCACTGTTTCTGTTATTCTACAGAAGCGTTTTTTTTAAATCTGAGATTTTACAGAACAGTTCACTGTTCACCTTAGTCTCGACCTAATATACATTGCTGTTTTAAACCACTATATACAATTTTACTTGCGTTTTTGTATAAAGACAGGCAACCTTTACAAGTTGGCACTATTTATTCTAGAAATGAATCTCTATAAAAGTTAAATGCAGTTACGTACCAACTTTATATGTTAAGCTATTCAAATACCTTATGAACCAAGTTTCAAAACCATAATTATTGTTGTAAAAAATTTGCGCTTTTAAATTCTTGGTTTATTGTTTTCACAGTTAATGGAGACCCCAAAAGAAATTCTCTTAGATGTTATTGTTACAGTCATTTTGAAATCTTCGATAACAGTGAAATAAAAATTATGTATAAATCGTTGTGTCTATCTCAAAAGATGCCTGTGCCTCCAGTGTTCAGAAAAACTAAGAAGTATAAACCTTTTAGGTATATTTGTAATTCATTGAAGTTTATACATCTTCATTAAGTGTGTTGAACAGACGTGGTAAATCTGAACTTTGCACGATTTTCAGTAGTAAAATGTCACACTGTGTTGAACTGCATTTTGGATTTGCCATATCCGTACATATTAACATTTTTCTAATCGCAACTGGTTTTGAAATTGACCAGACAAACTTCATATGGTCAGGTAGAGGATTTTCCTCAAAATTAATATTACATGTTTTTCAAGATTGTTTTACAAAGTAGACTGAATAATAGTGGGTTCAACTGGACACTGACTGACACATCAAAAAACATTATGTGCGTAATCATTCATGAGATACATCGTCGTCAGAGGGTTGCATTAGGATTATTGGCTTTCTTGGTGGTGCTGTCTGTCGTACTATCAGTGAAGCAGTTCTCTTTGGAACCGGTCGGTGACTCGGCGATGTTTAATCTCAAAGTGGGATCATCCAATCTGATCTTGGCGTCGTCGTCGGTGCTGTCCAATGAGGAGGATCTGTCGCCAGCTGACAGGCGACTGTTGCCCAGAGAGCCGGGGCCCCAACGTTTCATCGACTCTAGCCTCATGATCTTCAAAAAAAAAACGCGATTGAGGTATATATGCATCATTAGGATGAAGAACTTAAGAAAAAAAATAGTATTTCGTACAAATAAAATACTGAGAATGTACTCGTATATATGTGGACAAACATTTGATTCCACGGGCTATAGTCCAGAAGGCCTGATGGATTTTGACATACGAGTTGTGGTTGGATTTGTCTTAGCAGTGCGAGTGACATTGGGTATATTTAAATTTTATAAAATCACAATGACTTTAACCGACATGAATGAAGATGCTACATCAGTATGTTGCTGGCAATTGAAAATAGAGGAGCATGGGGGTATAGGGGGAAGGTATGCTTAAGAAACAATTCTGAAAACGAATGCCTTCATCACAACTAGAGGGGGGTGTTTTCGGTTTCCTGGATACATAAAATATTGATGGTTCGATTTATGTTATCGGCTTGAGCATCAAGGAGGGCTGCTTAATTATGCATCAACCCAAAATAACGAGAAAAATGAGCACATAGGGAAAACATGAGTGTCGAAAAAAAAAATGAGCAAAAAATAGTCCGTGGACACCCTGAGCATACTGTTCTCTGAATGCGATCTCATTTGAATCACGTAGGTTAGGTATGCTTCTGTCACAGATGTAAGGAAGATAACAATCAACACTTATAATGAATTCTGAACTCTACTGTCAGGTTCGATCAACACATTAAATAAAAATTAATCCCCTGTAATAATTAAAACATATTTCTATCAGTTGAGTACTCCAGTGAAAAATAGTGAGGATTAAAATAATTTCTTTTTCGATAAATAAGACTACTACTATTCTTAACAAACATGAAATCCAAACTCATTTATCTATAAAATTCTACCTGGTTAACGAAACAGCCAGGGCCGGCTGCAGAATTTTGTGCGTCATGAGTCAAAGGATGAAATATGCGCCCTCCCAAAAGAACAAGGGAGGATCTAGTCATTGAGCTCGGCTGCGCTGCGACAGTGCTTCTAAGAGCTAATGCCTTTCTGATAACTGAAGAGCGGGGGCGGTGTGTCGGCTTTGGCTGGTCGGTCTCGTCTCGATACGTCCAGTGGAGTATCACGACTCACATAACCCCGCACCACATCCGCCCCTGATTGAGGGTTTGCGCCCTGAAGCGGCTGCCTCATTTGCGTACTGCTTGTAGCCCGCCCTATAGCTACACACACACAGCTACACATGCTACCCTGTTTGATACATAAGTATCGTCAGATAGTATCATTACAATTCAAGCTAAATATGCTATATTTAATTCACTGGATTTCATGTAATATGTGCATGCAAAGCTGATGGATGTGGTTAAAAGGGAAAGGCAGGCATGGAAAAATGACAAATAATAACAAATACATGCCACACAAACACACGCTTCATGCCTTTTTTGGGGTTAGTATTACTTACTCGAGCCACTTCCAAGGCTCAGTGTCCGGACTTGTGATAGGCGTGGGAAACTAGAGAGTATTTTATTAATAGTATTATTTTAAAGTGTTGAAAATCTGACTGTTTTTTCTTTGGAAAAACTCCATGTTATAATGGGAATCCCCTATGATGTTAATTGGTAATTCATACTTTTCTATTCAGTAACTGCGGCAGTTATGTACATTTATATTTACAGAAAAATAATGCTGAAAGCAAAGCCAGTGCTTGCTATAACACAGTGTCTTTATAGATAGATGCAGTGCAAAAAGGTTTCGGGTTACATAGTCTGAAATAGTCTCTATAGCCTGAACTTGCTAATCATTGCTGAAATATTACTTCTCAACAGCTCGAAAATTATATAAACGATTCACTACCAGCAACTTGAATCTCCTGATATTATAAACTATACTAAGAGTCATATAAATCCGAACACCCAGTTTAAATGGTTTTATTTTAATAAAATTTTGTATAAGTACTTAACGAAGCATAATAAGTAAATGATAAAAATTTCAAAATGATTGAACTGCTTTAAAGCCCTTTGACCTTTAATAATGTGTGGATGCACCCTGATGTGCTAGGCATTCTCCAACGCGCCTAGGCATGCTTCTGATCAGGTGGTCAATGTCCTACTGTGGTATCTCATTCCAGGCAACCACCAACTCCTCTCGAAGTGCTTCTAAAGTCTGAGGAGGGCGTAGCAAATTGAGCAATCTCCTACCCATCATATCCCACACGTGCTCAATTGGGGATAAGTCGGGAGATCTTGGTGGCCATGGTAACAATGTGACATCATTATGTTGAAAGAAGTCTATTGTGACTCTTGCAACATGTGGTCGGGCATTATCTTGTTGGAAAGTTGGATCTGCCAGGGTGTCAAGATAGGGTGAAAGATGGGGTTCTAGAACTTCGTGGATATAACGCTGCGCGTTCATGTTACCTCTTATGAAGATTAAAGGTGAGCTGGAACCATAAGCTATAGCACCCCAAACCATAACTCCAACAGTGTGATGAACATGTCTTTCAACAAAAAACTGTGGCTTCCTCCTTTCACCACGTCGCCTTCTAACCCTGGCACGACCATCGTGCATGCCTAAACAAAATCGAGACTCGTCCATTCCTGATCCCAGAGTGACTGTTGTCTGCACCACTCAAGGCGATTACGTCGGTGTTCTCGAGTTAAAAGGAGGACCCAGTGTGGCCGGTATGAAAACAAGCCAAAACTTCTCATTCGTCGGTAAACACTTCGCATGCCAATAGGTCTTCCGTGTTCTGCAAACCATTCATTTGCAATGGACCTGGTAGTGGAGAAACGGTCCCTTAAGGCCAATAATCTTAGGCGGCGATCTTCACGGTCTGTTGTTCTACGGCGGCGTCCAGTGCCCCTTGCTCTTTGCGTACGGCCTTCTCGAAGCCATGCCTGACAACACCTAACCACAGTGTCTACACTTCTTTGCACTCTAACTGCAATTGCCCGAAAAGAAAGTCCAGCTTCCCGAAGTCCCACTATACGGCCCATATCAAACTCACTAAGTTGACGAAATCGTACAGGTCACCGTAATCTAGGCATCATAACCGATCGTAAAGGATGTCAAGAACCAAAATCCGCCAACGTTGATTCTTTAATACGGCTGAAATCTTGATTTTTAGAGCATTAGTGAATTAAAAAAAAAGCAGTATAAAAACCGGAATGTCCAACTGATAAGGCTGACAATTTTTTCACTTGTTATTTACAGTAAGATAAATACATTCACCAACTTTTATTAAAATAAAACCATTTAAACTGGGTGTTCGGATTTATATGTCACTTAGTATAGAGGGTGACTTTGAAGTTGAGTCATTAATTTTCAGATAATGATTGTAGAAGGAAGATAAACCAAAATATGTGTGTAATAATAAAAAAAAATTAAAAAAAAAATGTTACCTTGTTTTATAAAGTATCCTCCCGACAAGTATTTCAGTGCGGACCTGTATTTGATCGTGCGGTCTTGGAGCACCGGCATGCCCTCCCCTGTGAGGTCTTAAGTCACCTGATTCATGAGCCCTTTGTACTACATTAACAAAGGCACGAGGGGTTGGTTGCACTCGATTGGGAAACCGATCCGCATAAATCCGTGATCCCACGTAAATAAGAATCATGTCCACAAGTTCAGCATTTTCGTAAACATGTGCCATTTTTGATTTCGTTTGAGCCACGCAACAGACACCACTATTCACTCACGCGTTACCGACTGACACTGACTGTATGCAACTGAATAAAATAATTGTAAAAACATCGTTCCAAATTCTTTCGCTTTTTTGTTTCCGATGCGATGAACCGATAAGGCGGATTATATCCGTTGTTGCCAAACACGAGCACATAATATTATTATTGAGACAGGGCGGTACTCAAACTTCCAAAGCGCTATAACTTTGTTACATTAATTTTACCAGAAAAATGGTAAAGGAAAAAAACATTTCTTTTGATCAGATCTACTCACTGTTAAAATAAATGACTCAACTTCGAAGTCACCACCAAGTATATTCAAACTTTTGATACATTTGTAGCTGTTATATTTTTATTGAAGGTTGTAGAACCATCCGAAACCTTTAGTGCTGAATTCGTTAATGAAAGGGGTGTTTCTTATACTTACTTCTGCTTGTAGATCGGCGACTTTGTCTTGCAATTCCCTAACTTTGTCGCTATCGTCCACCGAATGAATCCTCAGTTCACCTTCCGTGGCTATTTCCTGGCTCTTAAATTAAAAGTAAAACAGAATCAATAAGATATTATTGCTTAGTTTGAAGATGGTGATATTCAGGGTACCTTTTCTTGGGTTCCTGATATTGTTGAAAATAAAACTGGGATAAGACTAACTCATCAATTTCTTTACACTTTCGTTCGTTCGATGTCAATACTTGTTTATGTTGACGAGAAGAACTCAAGTTTTTATCACAGAGAAGCTTTTTCAAGACTCAATAAAAATCACCTTTAGTTCCAACTGGCTGATCTTTTGTGTTAACTCAGCGACCGCTTGAGTTTTTTCAGCATCACTGATCTTCGCACGCATCAGTTCGTCCTTCATTTTACTTTCTAAATCTGAATATCGCCTTTGTTCCTCTAAAAGTCGAGCGGCAGCTTCACGGTCCCTCAGCTCTGCAGCTTCGAGAAGCTCACGTTGTTTTTTGATCTCTTCATCTTGTCTACGAAGTTGGTTCGTGCTCACTTGAACTTGAGTCTCCAGTTCCATAACCTGGAAATATTTAACAAAAAAAAATTATACCAGTTACCTGGCACTTTGAAAGCTTCAGTAACATACAGGTAAGATGGGCAGTAGGGGAATTCTTAAAAACGAGGGTGTAAAATGACTAATAGAAAGTGGGCATGGTTGTATTACTGTTGGAGTAACTGTATTCTTTAATGTTTCCTTGATCCGAGTGTTGCTTCAAAGGTTCCCACGCACAAGAAATATTTTTTATTTGGAAAAGCTAATTTGCCATTGGAAACGTTGATCTTCAAGCTATTTTTCTAAATAGTAACTTTCTAACTGCTTCTTGCAACTTCCGTGATCCTTCAATTTCGGAAACAGACGGAAATCGCTAGGTGCTATGTCAGGGCAATAACTTCCCAGCCAAATCGCTCGAGTCATTCGTGGTGCAGGCTTATGCTTTGGTGAGTTTTCTCCCGGGACGATTTTGAATTTCCCGTCTCAGCTTTTTACTAGGAGCATCAGGAATTTAAGTATTAGGAATTTCAACCGCTAGTTTCCGAGTTCGAGCAAGATTCGCTCAATCATCGCCACAACTTCCTCGGAGATCGACGGCCTTCCGCTCCGTTGTTCATCGTGCATGTCCGTGCGGCTGTCGGAGGGCTCTCTATACTATTTGTGGACATATTGTATGCTTATACACGTTTCCCCATATACTTCACTCAACTGGCGGTAATTTTTATGAGTGGTAACTTTTTTGCACCTAGCTGTGACGGCGATGAAGGGCTCCACTGCGCATGTCTGTTGGGCCGGTACTGAGAGTCGCAGATAGGCGCAAGTTGTTGGGATCGGTGGTGAGGGAGCCGACAAATGATGTTACCAGATTACGCCTAGCATCACGCGCGGGAAACTTATAGCGTTGGGAACCTTTTTTTTTAAGCAACCCTTGTAGAAAAGTCACTCAAAGGATCATTTACTTGATAAGTAGCACGAGAAAAATCGGTTACTTCAGCGTCGTCCATTAGTCTCGTCTCTGAAAGTTAAGTTAATTTGTGATAAAATACTTAATGATACGAAAAACCTGTCAATATTTTCCGAAAATGGACGAATTTATAAGCTTATTTGATAAACGTAGAAAGTCATCAGAAAAACCATCGAACTACATCCACTTTCTATTAGTTAATCTACGTCCACGTTTTCAAGAATTGAGAGGTCAAGTAGTTATGATTAGTAACCAGCCGTAGTCTTGGAATGAGCTCTTTTACCATGTCATCGACGGATTTTTTATTCACCTTAAGCCTTAGCTCTTTGACTTCCGTCAGAGCTTCCATCTCTCGAAGTCGCGTGGTCATCAAATCCTCTTCCAACTTCTGTGTTTCACTGTGCCTATTCTCCCAGAACAGCAACTTCTTTGGAGTACTGTGTGCCTCACCAGAATTGGCAGGTTCTTGTTTGTGTTCCTTGGAAAAATTTGATATCAGAAATTAGTTTTCTATATGAAATAAGTAGGCAGGGATAAAATGCAATGCCTGCTTTCGCATTTGCCAATTCATTCGACTTACTATACTGCTCACATTCGTAATGATACACTAATTTGAAAAAAAAAACAAAGTTCAAGTTTCACTAAGATGAAGAATAAATAATGATGTATAAATAATATTATGTGGACAAATTATATTTTTCCTGCACCTCCAAGTCACCTCCTATGTCATCATATCATCACACGTACATACTAACTTACTTGTAAATGCCTCTGCCACTGATTGCTCAACTCTGCCACCCTTTGTCTTAAATCTTTCAGGGACAAATTAGCTTCAGCTTCCCTAAGCTTCACGGCAATGAGCTCTTCCTGCAGGTGAGCCACACTGTTATCAGGTGTGATTTCCCTAAGCGTTTTCTTATCCTCTTCCAACTCGTGGATCCTGGAACGAAGATCTCGGATCAGAGCGTCATTTTCGGCCTCCCGAAGACGGACTTTGACCAGTTCTTCTTGGAGGCATTCGATCATTTCCTCGCGCTGTTGGAGTTGTTCTTGTTTCAAGGTGATCTCTTCGATCGAGGATTGCCTCGAAGTCTGCTGTAAAGAAGGAATTGTTATAGTAAAACTTGGTCAAACAAGTAGTATGGAACTAGACATAAAATCAATTACCGAATTGTAATCATTCTTTTAGTAAAAATATCGTTGTATACATACAGGGTGTTACTTAATGATAGGCCGTAATTTCAAGGGCGCATTCCTCAGCCAAATTTATGTAGAAATGCTCATATAAACATGTGCGCTAAAAATTCTGGTTTTCAAGATACAAAGGTTAAAAAAAGCTTTTTTTAGTAATATCACAAACATCCTTATGCCGATTATATTGAATTTTGACAAAACTGCTTACTGCAATAAGACGTAAAGTCAGCACTAACTAAAATATAATTATGAATGACTGTGGCGCCTCCGGGAGCAATCCCACGAATTAAATTGACACTGACTTTTTAGATGAAGCAGCTAACGATACAACTTTTTTGTCTCCTGGTATCTCTTCGTATGTTACTTCGAGAAACAAAGGAATAATTACATTACATGTAGAAAAATTATTGGAATAAGTTCAAATTACTTTGATCGTTGCTAGGGAATGTTGTTATGTTGTTATAAACATATATTTTACTTCCTGTGACGATTTACTATTATTTTTTTCTCTGCCAAACACCAATTTTTTCAAGTCTTTAAGACCCTGTGTCTTAGAAACTCGACTTTTTAGGACACATGCTCATATGAACTTTTCTACTTGAAACTGATTCAAGAATGCGCGCTTGTAATTACGACCTATCATTAAGTTACACCCTATATATCCGATTTGGTACACGATAGTAATACGGAAAAATGGTAAATATTAGGTTGTTATGTTTGGCAAACCGTACTTCCGCCAGTTCGTGACACGTTATATTTACGCTAAAAGCATGACGATAAAAGCTCGGAAAACAGAGTCATTTTTTGATATTATACGGTTAAGCGAATGCGCAGAATTACTAACGTGACGTGATTTATTTTTGCGTCATAGCGGGACTTCATGTAGGTACATCAATTAGTGGGCCGAAGCCCCAGAATTCAAACGTGAAAAGCGGAGAGGAGGGTGGCAGCTATAATGCATACTTGAAATCCCGCCGGGGCACTGGCTGATAGGGCAATTTGGGAAAACGGAACAATTGTGTGTCCCCTATTAAAATGAGGGATAATTTTACGTTTCAGTTTTTGTGTCCTGGACACAAAGATGGAGAGCTAAAAAATGAGACGGTCCAGCTCAACATTACCGAGATTACCGACGCGCTGTTAGTGTGGATAGTGAATACGATGTACAATGATGCTGTGCATCGACTTTATGACCTACGCGTTATACTTCTCACTCACATTTGTTTCTTCGTGCCACAACGAAAAACTATTCACGGACATAGAGAACTGAATCGTACAGAGCAATGCATGGACATATAGAAATAGAGCACCTGAAAAGTGCTGTGACGTGATAGGCGTTTGAGGTGACAGTGAAGTGAATAGCTATTTCCGAGTTCTAAATTCAGTACTGTCACAGAACGGTTCTGGAACTGCGCAAGACTGAATGCGTAAAGGGAAAGATCGCTGGAGCGGTTATCAACAGTCCATGAACTATCAGAATTTTGCCCAAACCCGAACAGCCTGACTACGGCAACAGCGAAGATAACTATGCGAAAAGAACATTTGTCAGTAACAATAATCACACTTTTGTCTTATGAAGTTTTTACAAACCGCAAAAAAGTTAACAGCATTTAAAGCAAAACACATCAAATAATTTTAATAAGATTGGCAGAAGGAATACGCATGCGTGAATAATCTGTCCAAAAATGGTCCCGGCAGTAAAGCAAGAACTGCTTAGACGATTCTCGAACCATCCTAGCACTGAACCAGGATATAACTCGAACACCAAATCACCCAAATTTCAATTCTAAAACGGTCCGATAGTAATCCAACAGAAACTCGAACACGTCGGTTTTTTCTGCGCTTGCTCAGTGGCGAAGCGTCCATGTAACCATTGTTACCATTGGTAACAGTTAAAAATCTTAAAAATAAATATTTTATGACTAAGTACTGTGAAATAATTTCATTTATTTGTTTACCAACAGCGATATGTAATAGTAATTCAGTAAATCGCAAATTAGCCCCACGAAAATAATGTGCCCTATAGTGTCTAGGGCCCGTATCGTCAGTCGTCCCTACAATTGCAGAGCGCCTTTATGGCTTCCTTGATTGTCATAGTTTTCTACTTCTCCGTGTCAGAAATCTATTTTGAGGTTATGTCACAAATATCTATGCGCATCAAATTGTGCTTGCTTTTGAGTTATATCATGTTTTATCAACCTGAAATTTCCTAGAATTTAAAAAGAAAACATATCTTCACAATAGGAGAGCGCTGACGCTGACACGGCTTAGGGCCCGTATCGTCAGTCGTCCCTACAATTGTAGGGCGCGTTTATGGCCTCCTTCATTGTCATACTCTTTTCTTTCCTTTAAAAATTTCTAGATTACACTCGTCCCGTGTCAGCGTCAGCGCTCTCCTATTGTGAAGATATGTTTTCTTTTTAAATTCTAGGAAATTTCAGGCTGATAAAACATGATATAACCTAAAAGCAAGCACAATTTGATGCGCATAGATGTTTGTGACATAACCTCAAAATAGAGCTCTGACACGGAGAAGTAGAAAACTATGACAATCAAGGAGGCCATAAACGCGCCCTACAATTGTAGGGACGACTGACGATACGGGCCTAGGTTTTGCGAACACGATGAAGCTGACTCGCCTCGATTTGGTTGTAGGTTGTTACCATTTTCATTTATGGGTACACTTGGTAGTCTGTCGGGAACCGTCGGTACCGGCTCGTGTCTGATCGCTGTCGCCCGAGTGTGTGGGGCGCTGCGACTATTATGTGGGCTTGTTACCATTTTTTGATTTGGTTACTCACTTCTCACTCGTTAGTAGCCGTTTTGGTTACCGGCTATACTCGTAGTATGCGGGCAATTAAATAAACATGGATGAGTGTCGCTGCGTAATCGATCAACTACTTGAAAAGTCATTCTACTTGTATAATTTTTAAGAAAAAAAAGGAGATCATTGAAAATGGAAGACCAACGCCTATTTTAGATAATTTTAAAAAGGAATAAAAAAACGTAGTTTGATATTTTAAATTAAGTTGGTATATGGAAACTCTTGTTTATGTGGTTGTAAAAAAACAGATTGTATTGTTGGCGATGTCTTCTGTTTTATACAGAATAAAATGCAGCGGAGTCAACGATTTAAATAGTTTTAGGGCTCTAAAGAGGAGACATGAAATTTCTCCGTCACATTTTGGCAAAACAAGAATCGAAAGTTGTCTTAACCAAGCTTTTAGGCAGCACACTTCTCGATAGCGTATGTTTTTTGGCAAAACAGGACTTACCGTTCATTTTGAAGGGGATGAATCTGACAATAGAGGAAATTACAGGGAATTGTTAAGATTCATTGCCAAAAAAGGTCAAACATTTTCCGAACATCTAGAAACGTCGACTGTTTTTTCGGACGGCATAAGACGATGGGGTATATCAAGTGCCCCAGACGCTCAGTCCAGGAATGTTTACCTTAATTTAAAAATAGTTTAAATAAAATACCTAAAATAAGCAAAAACTTATATTTGGGTTGGAGGTTCAAAATAAACTTTTTTTAATAAGATTTTTCATATCTGGTTTTGGTAACAGTTTAGGAAAAGTCACGCGTCGCCACTGCGCATGCTCCTGATAGTTCTAGAACAGTAATGATAAAAACCACAAGAAACCTAATGTCGCCTCTACGGAGCACTCAATACTCAGTCAACGCGGACACATTAACGCGACTGTCGTCCGCAGTGTTGCCGAGCCTATGGATTTTTCGGTATTTCCACTGAAACGAGACCTTATCTACCAAAATACCAAAAAATTATTCATTTTGCACGATATTTTGAAATAATTCAGATATTACCAGATTGTTTACCGAAAAATAGCTGGAACAAAAAAAAAATAAAAAAAAATGAATTTTATGTAGTTTTAGGCCCGTATCGTCAGTCGTCCCTACAATTGTAGGGCGCGTTTATGGCCTCCTTGATTCACATACTCCTTTCTCTCCTTCAAAAATTTCTAGATTACACTTGTTCCGTGTCAGCGTCAGCGCTCTCCTATTGTGAAGATATGTTTTCTTTTTAAATTGTAGGAAATTTCAGCTTGATAAAACATGATATAACTCAAAGGCAAGCACAATTTGATGCAAATAGATGTTTGTGACATAACTTCAAAATAGGAGCCTGACACGGAGAAGTAGAAAACTATGACAATCAAGGAGGTCATAAAGGCGCCCTACAATTGTAGGGACGACTGACGATACGGGCCTTAGCCCCATACCAATCATACAAATGCATACACTCACGGCCGTATCGTCAGTCGTCCCTACAATAAAATTGTAGAACCCCTTTATGGCCTGCTTGATTATAATAGTATTTTCTCACTGGGGTATTTCTAGATTTCGACTGTTCTATGTTTTTTTTGAATTGCATTACATTTCAGGCTGATATAAATGAAAAGCATGAACAATATGATGCAAATAGGTATTTGTAACCTCAAAATAGAGCGGTGACACGGAACAGTAGAAAACTATGAAAATTAACGAAGCCATATAGGCGTCCTACAATTATCGGAACGACTGACGATACGGTCCTTAGCCAGTGGGGCACACGAGGAACGTAGATTTGAGTAGTCTGCAATTATGTATGCACATCACTTACTCCGCTTTCCCTGAATTCGTTTTTGTACGTACAACAGAGGTACAAACTGATAGATCACAGTCATTGCCGCATCCCCGGACAAGCAATAAAACCAAAGATGGTCTCTGATTTTAATTAAATATTAAATCCAAATGCCAGGTGACCAGTTCAGGGGAACTACAGAGAAATATATATATATATATATATATATATATATACAATATTATAACCAAGAATGGAGAAAGGAGTTTCCACGATAGCAGTTGCAAAGAAGTTTGAAGAGCGACCAATATACTCATTGTATAAGTCGTAATAAAGAAGTCAATATTTTTCAGGAAAAGAAAATGTGGCTTCAAAAAACTGGTGTTAGTGCGCGCGCAGAACAAAAATATATTTTTCTCATAAACGGCAGCGTGACGCAAATACCCTTGAACACACATGTGATCTTGCGACGGCCCTGATTTTTTTTCTCATATCGATTTTGTCCTTGAATCTACCGAATTTCAACGGCACTATCTACCGATTTCGTCTTTTTCGGATCGGGAACACTGATCGTCCGTATAATTTTCTCTACACGAGATGGTAGAGTGATGTTGACGCGACGCTAAATGAGAGATGGTTTCAGTAATTATATAAAATGTAGTGTTTTGTTGACATAACATACTAGTTATTTGTCTTTGAAGCTCGGAATGTTTGTTCTTTTATTCCTGTTCTATTTGTAATTCTGAATTAAAATTCCCACTCACAGTTTCCTCCATCATCAAGGAGAGTGATCTGATTTTCTCATTGGCCAATGCCAATTGGTGTGTCGTTTCGAGGTGCGTGTGTCTCAATACGTCCAATTCGCGCTGTACTACAAACGTGGTTTCCTCCTCTTCAGCCCTACTAACTTGTCCTTTGACCAGTCGATCAGCCAAAGCTTTGCTTTCTTCCTCGAGCATCTCGCAACGGTGCCTCAGTTGCTTGTTTTCATGCCGCAGCCTCTGCAAGTAGATTATTTTATGGTACTTTTCACATCAGAACGATGATACGTTATTATGAGTAATATAACTTCGATTATCATTTCCACAATACGATTCTGCTGTTCTACACTGAATATAAATTACAGCAAATGGTTTCAACACGGTATGTACTTTTAAATGTAGATTTTTTTAGTGAAGTGATAGTGTATTATAATCCATACATAATCGGAATCAGAAAAAAAACGACTAAAATCTCAACTAAACATATACAGGATGTTTCATTTGAACAATTACATCTTTCAGCATTAGATAGCGCGAAGCGTCATATATCGCACCAGAATCGAACCATTGTGGATAGCGCACCGCTGCTATTAGTCGGAACTGTCATGGATCTCAGTTCCCGTTTAATAGCCGTGCCGCTAGATGGCTGATGACTCTGGTGCGATAGATCGGTCTTCGCGCTACCTCATGCTGATAAACTGTACCTCCGGTATAGAGGATCATTGTAATGCTTTCGTTTGTTCATCCAGAGATAAAAGACCAAACCTATACCATGCTGATGAGTAGCTAAGAAGCACGAAACAGATGTCCATGGTTGGCTTTTCTTCTTTTCTTGGTCGGACGGACGAAAGCATCTTGTTTAACCAATTACAAGCCTGTTTGCTCGCATTTTTCAGAGAGTACACAAAAAGTCTTTAAATTAGACCTCATAACTTAGAGTTAAAAGGAGTCAATTGATAGAGGGGACACTCTGTACGTATTATGACATGAGTTTTCAGAACACTATTGACGTAAATGTCAAAATCAGTAATTTCTATATAGCTATTTTGCTCTTGGAAGGAGAGTCACAAACTGACTTTGGGCGAGTTTTGATAGGTGGGTGTAAACGTTTGTGGAAAAATGCAACAACGGAAAACCACGTGCAACACCAGTGACGGTCAACAATTAAATGAATTCACCACAATCACCACTTATTGATTTGATCACTAACATTCAGCTTTACAACTGTTGCGATCTGTCGAGAAACGCAATGTCATCTTCGCAGATTAAGAACAGCAAAGCACCCCTTTCCATTTTATTGATGACTTCACAGTGGATTCAAACAATTAGCTATTTAAAAATGATTCATGTATCAAGTAAATACATTTACATCCATCTACCGGTTTAAAAAGATTCTGCTCAAAGTCAATTTCCCAACCTGTGAGCTCTCCTTATCTTCTATAGGGTGTCTCAACAAGAGCTCCGGATTTGAATTTGCCGCCATTTTTTTGTACAAATGGTATGGCGTTTACTTGATGACAGCTGTCATTCCAGACCACGCATTAGACGTCATGGAGCAGTATTCAAATGAGCAACGTTTAATTATTGTGAAAACTCACTACAAAAATGGAGAATATTACGCGGAAACGTACAATTTTCGGTCGCAATAATGCGCCAAATGAGTCGACAGTTCGCCGTTTAATTACAAAATTTGAGACAAAATTCGCGTTTCTGAATGTCAAGATCGCTGTTCGTCGCCGTCCTGGTCGGTTCCTCGAAATTATAGTCGCAGTGCTGGAAAGTGTGGCCGAGAATTCAGGCACATTCGGTATCGGGAACCTTACCAGACCCACTCTGCAACGATTTTTGACAAAAGATCTGTGCTTGCATGCGTACAAGGTTCAACTGACGCAAGAACTCAAGCCAACGGACCATCCGCAGCGCCGTGAATTCGTTGATTGGGCGCTGGAGCGCCAAAAAATTGGACCGTATTTCTTCGAAAATGCAGCTGGAACTGCGGTAACTGTTAATGGTGTGTGGTATCGCGAAATGTTAACCGAGTTTTTGTCGTCCCAGTTGGATCCAATTGATATGGAGGACATGTTCTTCCAACAAGACGGTGCGACCTTCCGCACAACACGCGAAGCAATGTTGTTACTGCGGACCAAGTTTCCAGACCGTGTCATCTCTCGGTTTGGCGATCAAAATTGGCCACCAAGATCGTGCAATCTAACGCCAATGGACTTCTTCCTCTGAGGCTTTGTGAAGGGAAAGGTGTATGCGAACAAGCCACAAACAGTTGAACGCCTTGAAGGAAAGATACGGCGCGTTATCGACGAAATAGAGCCACAGTAGTGCAAAAATGTTATCCAGAATTTTAAGAAAAGGCTGACCCTGTGTCAGAGGTTTCGTGTTGGTCATTTACCTATTTTATGTTTAATCATAACTATTCCTCTTCATGTTGAAATATAAATACTCGCTTAATTCGAAAAGGAATTGTGTTTTTCTTGAAAATCAAATCCGGCGCTCTTATTGGGACACCCTTTATATTCCCCCTACACAAACTAGTTCTTCATTCTGACCTCCATGACCTAACTGTGATTGTGGTCATGGACATACCGTTGCAGCAAAATGACGCTACGTTCAAAGCATGATCCTATTATGATACGATATAACGGGCAAAAGCCTTAATATAGTGATTTTCGACTTTTACTTCATATCGTCATTTGGTCTCATTGATTTCTGCGATTCATCAAGATAAAAACTGTTTACCTTTAGTTCTGCCATTTCCTCTTGCTCCTTTGTTTTTATCACGACATATTCTTTTTCGAGCTTCTTCATTTTCTTTGCATTATATTTCATTGTATAAGCTAACTGCATCAATGCTTCAGGATCGGATTCTGCTTTAGCAGGAAGTTCTTTTTGGAAGAACTGAAACATTATTATTGTTAAATTAGAGTGAGCTAGAGTGATAATCAGAAATATATGACACTCACTTTTAGCATCCCCTCCATATCTAATGACATAAGTTCTTCTTTACCAAGTGTCAGCATTGCCAAAGCAACCTAAAAACAAGGAAAAGTGTATACATATATAATATGGAAGTGTGGACTGGTTTGGCATTTTGCATATCATATATGCAGACAAAATAGATATAATAGTAAAGTATTGAAATGTTTCTGGATGGCGCTGGTTTCCAATTCGTAATTTCTGTTAATATGATCTTGTGCATTCTGTAATTTGCATTCATCGTATAATCTTGAATTTATTCCTCGAGCTTTTATCTTTTGAAGATCTCCAAGAAACCTAATAAATCTAGAGTAACGATATTTATATGTATTCTGTCTCTGTCATATTATGTATTTAAAGACTTTGAGAAATATTTATGCAAATACGTACAAATCTTTAAATAACGTCGCAGTATTCTGGGAAAAACTTTTTGGTCTACCTTGTAGATTCACAAAAATACCTTGAATATGATTTCCATGCCTTCTGAAAGGAATACGTCCATGATTCGGCAGGCCATTGGCAACGAAAGTGCGGTTGTGAATAGCGTGAGGAACCAGCTGAAAATGAGGAGAATAAGTAGGCTTCCTTTTTTGGTAAATCAAACGAAGCGTTGTACCTGGAAGCATACATGGATGTGTGGAAGTTCTGAGACTGGAAATGCTGATTTAAATCAGGCAACTGTTCGGCCACAAGATTTTCTAATTGATACATGCATAGTCCTAGTTCTGCCATGCTCGGTTTAAACATGTCTCGCATTCTGTAGTCCTCCATTATTTTTACTAGTACGGCGAATGTTTCTTCCTCGGGCATCTAAGAAACGACAAAACATGAAACTATACTCTGGGCGCTGAAGAAAGACATTAAACGTAAACAGTGATCAGCACGTGAACAGATCCCTCGAAAGCATCCACGGATATACTCCAGTCACTTTAGGTCTAAACATCCTCGGGAGTGTATTTCTAGTGAATCCACAGACCCTTTTTCGTGTCATCTTGAGACTAGAAAAAGGATGACTGTTAAAATAAGTTACCTTGATCTTTCATGAGCTCCCAGTACAAAACATCATCGATATATTTTTGATGTAGGAACAACAAATTGGTTTAGAAAACATCCACTTTGAACCTAAATTGACTGGAGTAACATCGATCTACAGACAAATTCAAGGTCACTAGCAGTCGTCGGCGCTCTACGAATCTGCACAGGTTTGGACTTGTAAACGTGATTGTAGATGACACGACAGGCATCTAACAGTTAATTCACGCACAGGATTGCATTGCATACGCATTACGCATTCAGTAGCGTATACTCGTTTTTCGCGAGTGGAACGTTTTGTTTATATATTGCCTAAGATACGATGTCTGACACAGATACAGCCGACGAAGTGGTTGACATCAGCGCAACCCCACCCAAAAAAAGGGCTAAGAAGCTACGCTACATTTAAGTGCAAATGAAAAACAAATAATATTAAATATATACAAAAACCAAATTCAAGAAAAACCCGATTTGGTCGTGGACGAAGTTATATGTAAGGTAGCACATATTTCTGGAGTATGTCGGTCCAGTGTTTATAGGATCATTAAGGAATATAGGAGCACTCATTCACTTTCTGAGCCAAAACCGTATCCTGCAAGAAAAAGGATAACGGACGGAGTAGATGACTTTGACAGAACTGCCATCAGGAGGAAAGTGCATAATTTTTTCTTCCGAAATGAGATACCTACAATAGATAAGATATTAAGATTAGTTAATGCTGATGAGGATCTTCCATCATTTAAAAGAACCACATTCCGAAAACTTTTGAAGGAACTTAATTTTCGATTCTTGAAACGGGGAAGAAACAGTATGTTAATAGAGAAAGAAGAAATTGTTGTGTGGAGAAGGGAATACCTTAGGAAGATTCGGAAGTTTCGCGATGAAAAAAGAAAAATTTACTATTTGGACGAAACGTGGGTGAATGCTGGACATACTCAACCGAAAGTTTGGGTCGACAAATCAGTAACATCATCAAGGCAGGCTTTTCTAGACGGTCTTTCGGATTGAAAAATCCTGCAGGTAAGCTCCTTCATCTATCCGGCAATTTAATTTTGATAAATTCGGGCAAATAATATGCTGTGATAGCAGATAATGTGTGATATTCTCCAAAAATGGTGCATTCGCAGTGTAGTCATTAGGAAAAAAACTTCGACCCTCTTTTAAGCGTTATTTTGAAATTTATTATCATTTTTGGGTGCAGACAATTTGCTTTGAATGGGTTTTGAGAAGTTGCAAACTTCAATTTTCTACGTTTTTCAGTTTTTGATCAGCATTCCGTGACTCTTAAATTCAGCTAAATGAACTCAATTGCCTCATTCCTTCAAATTTAATCAATCCATAGTGTAAGGAATAATTTATTTCCAGGAAAAGGCAAACGGCTGATCATTTGTCACGTAGGTAGTGAAGACGGCTTTGTTCCCGAAGCACTGTGGGCCTTTGAATCAAAAAAGACAGGGGACTATCATGAGGAGATGGACGGCAATTCCTTTGAACATTGGTTCTCCAAAATGTTACTAAAGCTGGAGAATAACGCTGTTATTGTACTGGATAATGCCCCGTACCATTCTAGAAAAATAGAAAAAATTCCCACAATGGCAACTAAAAAAGCAAACATACAACAATGGCTGGCCTCAAAACAGATCGATTTTGATGAAACAATGGTCAAGGGTGAATTGATAAGTATAGTCAATAGACATAAATACAAATACGATTTTAAAATGATCGACGAAATGGCCAAAAAACAAAATAAAACTGTCTTGAGACTGCCACCCTACCATTGTGAGCTGAACCCTATTGAGTTGATTTGGGCCAACATAAAGCAATACGTGGCGTCGAATAATAATACTTATAAATTTTCTGATGTTAAAAATCTCTTTCACATCGCAGTCAGTAGAGTTACGGCAGAGGAATGGAAAAACTGTATCCGCCACGTTCGGGAGAAGGTTGAGGTCAAAATCTGGGATTTGGACAATGTCATCGATACCCAAATTGAACCTCTAATAATTCATTTAAACGATTCAGAAGATTCAAGTTCCTCTTCTGAATGAGTGCGCGCAGCTTACTTACTAATAACTAAAAAGTGTAGTTAACTCATTTGTGAATCTCTAACTGAAATTTATTGTAAAAGATAATAATTATCTTGTATGAAATTTTTGATGACTACCCATAATATCTTGATGCGGTCCTGTAATGTCTCCTGCGCCTAAACACTCACTCACGAGCAATATGCGTGTATTTGTTTGGGTTTAGTTTCTTTCTTCAGCGCCTAGAGTTTAGATATGTGTGATCCGTATTTATTCTTGATAGAGATACTGTACAAGCCTCAATCTTGATATCAGGCCTAAACTCTTATGCATGCAGTTCGTAAGTTATGTACTGGCCATTCATAAATCAAGCAGTATAAAACAGCAAAAACGAGAAAGGAAGAAGTAGGAGGGTGTATAAGAAGTGATAGTTCTCGTACAGGAGATATCGCATAATTCTAGTTGTTTGATATATAAAGCTGAACCTTGTTTTACAAACTTGAACTGTAAAGAACACTGACTATAGCTGTCGAAATGTAACTGTGATGAATTTGAGAATGGTGTATTCTGTTGTGGACAGGGTCAAAAAACCTTGACTGGAGGTAGAAAAGCAGAATCGTCATCATACATATATTTTACGGTTGATGACGTAAGATACAGCTTAAAAATGACAAGGACTAGTCCAAGAGTCAAATCCTGAGGAACACCTGCATCAGATGTTATAGACGTGGCATCGTTAATTTTATTTTACGACTCTCTTAAGTCAAGATAAAAGTAGAAGAGTAAAACTGTTCTGGATTAGCTTATTCATAAATTCGAGTCCATTCGCAAGGCACTTTTAATTCAGAGAAGATCGAGCGCTTTTGTTAATTATATGATACCAACCTGCATGAGTAACAGGCCCACGATAAAGCCTGATCCTTGGCAGTACCCCACTTCCCTGTCGTGGAGTGAATATGCCTTGATAACGTTGAATAGAGATTCTTGGCCCAGTCCATCCTTCTCCTTAAAGAACTCGTGCTCTGGATACGTTCGAGCTATGTCCCTCCTTATGACCTTTTCACAAGGAGATTTCGTCTGAAAATACATGATTGATATTAGAAAAACTATTATTTGGATAAGGAAGATAAATTAAAAAAAAACAATAAATATAATAATATAAATAAGGAGCAGTTAAAAAATTAGGCTAAAAAAATTGTAATATTTATCTAATTACATTGTTGCTGTGCCACATGGTTTTCCAAATTAAATGCAGACATTGTACTATGTCTAATTCATAGAGGTAGAACACAGTGTAAAAGATATACAGTAGAATAAGCTATACACAATGCAAATATACTTTTTTATCTCACCTTAATATACTCAGCATATAGCTTTTTCTCTGGCGCTTCTGTGGCACCACAAAGCAGTTGCCACACAATGGCCCTGAAATGGAGTGGGATCCCCCTGCGTACCCAATCCTTGATCTGAGCATTCTGCTTCTTCCAACAGTTTTCCCAATCGGTCACGATATGGTTCCATTTCAACCAGAGGTCTTCCTCGCTGGTACCCCCACCGCTATCGTCCGGCCTGTCATGGGTAGAACTGGTACCTGAAACAATGACAGACAAACAGTAGTAAATACATTACATACCTAGTTTGAGACGTGGTACATTTTTTGGCGTTGAAGGATATAATGTTTGAGGTATTGTATATAATTTTTTACTAAGTATATATATCAAAAAAATTTCGATTTTACTTCACGATTATGACGTTTTAAACTCATTTTACAAATACTTAAAAATATCTAGTTAACTGGTGTGAAACAAATTGATGGATGCAACAGATTGCTGATTCTGTCTATCTATTCGTCATTGTCTGTCAGAGCGGTCCCTAGTATCTTTGCTCTTGCTTAAGGCTTTGTAAGTCAGTAGGTCTGTCAGGTCTGGTTGCCCAGATATCTGACAACGTTAGGAAGAAAGAAGGAAAGAAGAAAGAGAGAAAGGAGGGAGCATGAGCAAAGAAGTGCGTCAATTTGAGGGGTGCCTTGGCATTGCTAACTAGTATTCGGGAATTTTAAATTGATCCTAAAATTAATTTCGCGATTGGTTGTTGAAGAAAAATTATAAATTATAACTTTGGTTGAAAGTAAAGTCGCATAATTTAATTTTATTCACAGAGCGACCCGCCGCCTTGTATGCTTTCGAACTTGTAGTCTACTGACTCGCGCAAAAAAGGGTTGCTATGTAATTCCGCTTGACTATTACGTCGCTGCGCTTGTTGTTTGACGTAGTCTCAGATAAGCGATGTCAAGGTCTCTGTGAAGGGTCTCATTGGACACATATCATGGCATTAGTGATTGTACGCAAGGTTCTGTTCTACAAAACCTGCAGACTTCGCAAATGCGTTTTGGCGAGAAAACACCAAGCCGCACTTGCGTAAGTGATCACTTGTGCAAGTGATCGCTGGCCTAATAACCGTCTTGTATAGCCGGACTTTCTTTATCAAACTCAATTTTGAGGTTCTACATAGCATAAGTTACCGTAACGTGTTTTGGAATTTAGTTCTTAACGCTTCAGAGATATTTAGCAGAACTTTCCCAAGGTAACCGAGCTCCGTTCAATGAAACCTGAGACGAGGCGCCGCTACGTTTTTTAGCCCGCATTTTCGAAAGATTAATTTTGATCAACCACCCATTCCAATACGCGTACCGCACTTTGCAGCCCGTCGTGAACTAGATTCCCAGGACACGACTGCTACCAGTGCTGTGTCATCAGCATAGAGATAGATTTCACAGTTGCTGGGGCCAGAAGCGTCATGAATAAAAAGTGACTAAAGGATTGGTCCAAGAATCTGAGGGACACCGGCTTTGATGAGCCATGTTGTCGATAGAATGTTATTAATTTTTAATCCGAAATTTCCTACCCTCAAGGGAGCCAAAAGGGGAAGCCCTTTTGGATCAATTTGTAGAGTAGGCCCTTGTGCCACATCTTGTCAAATGCCTTTGAGACATCCAGAAGCAAGATGTCAGTATGACGATTAATTTTCAAGATGACGTAGAATCACCTTTTCAGCGAGCTTAGGAGGTGACAGTAAACTAATGGGACGGTAATCGTGGGAGATTGCTGATTTAATGATGATTGCTGTACTTCTCGAAAACCATGAGACTAGTGACTAAACAAAATTGTGTCAAACAGTAGGTCATGATGTGACCTATTTTCAGTTGCAGGATTATCTTATCGCTAAAGTCCATCTAGATTAACACATTTTTATTTGCACAATAACTGAGAGTTTAGTTTTGACGCATTAACATATCTGGGTAATCCTATTCTGCCGATGAATTACTCCAGTAAGGTTGAAGAGAATTTTAGAAAAAAATATTGTACAATAGACATGCATAAAAAATTACCTAAAGGTACATAAAATACGGAATTGCACACTGTAACCATAGCTTCAGCGCACCTGCATCCACATTTAGCACTTCACAGCCGCACCTGCATCCACATTTAGCACTTCACAGCACGTCTAAAAACACTTCACTTGAAATATCTCACACTAGTTCACCGTACAATCCGACAGCTTTCCGTAAACAGGAGTAAATACGTAACTGCATGTTGTCAATTAAGTTAGTAGTATTTTCTTATAGTTTATGATATATAAGAAGGGTTTGGTCAAGATTTTACAGATGGAATACGAATTGCGTTTGACAGCTTGGAATGTGACTCTTCAGTAACACTACAGGATGACTTTGCCCACATACTCGTCAAGGGCGAAGAATGTCACATTCCTGCTGTAAAGCATTAATAATGGCCTCTTACTGGCACTTTTACAAACAATGCCCACTGCTATATTTTCAATTTTGGGTTTAATGTGCATTCTTTATTGAGACTATGCTGAAACCAACAACGAATTCAGACTAGGCCAACTCTTCATTCTAAGAAACAATATTAAATCTTCCATGAAAGACAGGCAAGAGAACTACAACAAATTTCACTTACATAGAGTGGCATAACATACTATAGTCAAAATCACGAAAGATGACTATTACATCTTACCATAAATTGTACTGAAGTAATCAATGGACGTACGTCGATGATGAAATCACAATGACAACAAATTTATATTATGATTTTGCGAAGTTAGGTTATTTAACTGATTATTTTTATTTTCATTTTATTCATGGTTTTGAGTGATACCTTAGATAATAATAATTTTAGTGGGGAGCTTTTGTTTTGAAAAAACAATTATGAGGAGAATACCTTAAGATAGGAACACCAAAGACCAAAGTATTATTAGAAAACAACCTAACCTGCTTTAACATAACCTAACTATTCATCTTTCAAATATGACCGATCACGCAACACGAAAACATCGTCTATCTTTGTCGGATACATGCAAATTAGCAATACAGTTTGTTTAGACAATAAAATTCTGTTTGTCTCTGTCTAACATATCTGAAACTTCATTAAAAATATTCACAAATCGCTGTAGTTTGCCTTTACTACAGACTAAAATGATGACGTAATCGTCATCTTTCGTGATTTCGACTATAGTTAATAATGACTATGGTAGTACAATCTATCAGTTTCATCTTTGGTAGTTTTAGTAGCTACTTCAAAAGTAACAACAATGATAATGCTAATAGCCATAATATCTTGATCGTTGAATCTTGAAACTAATTCTTATTTTTTTAAGCGCTGAGCTTTGAACATATTAACTACTTGTAGAATATGTAGGATGAAGTAGCCTATAATTAGCAAAGATCTACTCGACTTTTCAAAGCTTTGCGAATACGGCATTCTCTATTAGAAATTTCCTTACAAAAGCACGCGTTACCTTACGGCAATAATAAACTTCTTGCCATTTGTATTAATAAAAAAGCAATTACATTGTCTCAGTTCTTCGCACATAGAAATAGTAATCCATTTTATAAGACACAAGCGACAAATAGGTGATAAGCGAACAAGCGAAAATTAGTTGACGACAGTCTGACCGATGAATATTGATGTATAGAACTAACTTATAGGTGAACACCATGAACCATAAACATTAAATTTACGATAACAAATGCCACTACATGTTTGATTTGCTACTGTTTGCTACTTCGCGAACGTCGTTCAACTGTTTAAATTGCGGGACACGCTGTCAAGTGTACCTACCAACTGGGCTTCATTCCATTCGAATGTACAGATGTTATTGTATTCTTATTAAATAACGAATTCTTATCATATGAAATATATAAACAATCACCTGATATATTGTAAAATTATGGCATATGAACTTTTTTCATCTCTTTGGCATGTGAGGGTTATCGGAAAGGTGTGTTGCTATGTTACATGACAGCTTGTACGAGGGTTGTTTCAAAAATACGGTTCCCACATTTTTTTCGGGCAAAAGGAATGTTTTATTAAAAAGAAACGAATTCACCATTGGAAACGTTGATCTTTCAGCTATTTCTCTCCATAGTTGCCATTTTTTTCTATGCATTTTTTTAGACGTAAAATCCACTTTTGCACTACCGCCTCAAGGAAGTCAGGTGCTCTGTCAATTTCGGAATCGCTATGTCAGGGCTGTAAGGGGGATGGGCAATGACCTACCAACCAAATCGATCCATTCATATGGCTGATGGGCCGGTATTGAGCATCGAAAATAGGCGCTTCTTGTTGGGTTCGGTAGAGGGGAGCCGACAAACATGACGGTGTTGCCATATTTCGCCTAACAACACGCGCGGCTCAGATACAGGGCTAGGAACCTCATTTTTGAGACAAACATCATAGCACTATTTTTGGATTAGCCATTTCTGTCAAACAGGTGTAGTGTCACAATCTCCAACAAGACCTTAATAGTTCAAGCGATGTTTAGCTATCATATTGATAATGTAGGTACAGGTGGATGTCAGATTTTCAAAGGACTTTGATTGTTTTCTGAAAGTAAGGTCAAATCTTCGTAGCATATAAGGGATATGATCGTGTACATACCTAAAACAAGGTCTTGGGATACTGTGTTAGAAACTGGTCTAGCTTTGTTGACATAAAAAGTGTAAAAGCACTGTAACACTTTATATTTCTTCTATACGCAGTAAGCTGGAGTATGGAGCAATCATATGGTCTCCACTTTATCAGATTGCTATTTCAGCAGTTGGTCCGGCGAAAGTGCTTAAAGTTTATGCATTATAAAGTTTATGGTTTCTATCCCGAAAGAGGTTTTCCTTACGCCATTCTCGCTGAGAGAATGCATTTTGACACTGTAGCTTACCGTGGACCCACTAAGGATCTTACAACACTGTAAAATAATGTCAATAATGAATTAGGTAGCTCAGATTTACTACACAAAATTAATTTTGCAGTACCTTCAAAAATGACACGCTCCAATTCAACTTTCTACACTCCTGGTGGAACAAATAACATGCATGTCTCCAATAAATGGAATGTGTAGTTTTGATAAGTATTGTCAAGGATGTGACATGTGACAGCTTTGACAGTTTGCAGGTAGTTTTAAGCAATTATCAAAGGAATTACTCTATAATGAAAAATATGTAAACGTAACACAATTTCTATCTTTCTTATTTCATTTATTATGTAATTGTGAAATTTTATATGTATTTTTTAATTATACTTTTAATTTGAATTTTTGTGTAACTCATTATTTTTACTCTGATATATATTGTGGAATTATTTATTGTTAATAGTAAGACAGATTATTACCATGTTCTCTTATTGTTCCTGAGATTGGGTAGCAAACCTGTCGGATTTTACATTTTGCAAAAGAAGGTGAACTAGGGTGATTGGCATAGAAATATTTATGCTGCTAATTTATAGGAGTCTCAAAGAAAAAAGAAAACTGACAGTAGGGGAGATGTATAAGTTATATTCTGTTTTTGCTTCCCAAAGCTAAGGCATAGAAGTTTGAAAAATACTAACCAGTATGGCTTACGAACTTGATAAACATTATAAGACCTGATACAGCGGCTATGCGGTAACAAGAATTCTAAAAATATGGAAAGTTTAAAATGGAAATTCAATTTGGAAACTTCATTATAGCAGTATCATAAAAAGATGAGAATAACTAGAATTACTTAATAAGTCACAGTTGCAATCAATTCCGTGTATTAATAAACGTTATTAATATTTTACCTTAACTATCTCCAAATTAGACTAACTAGGTCTATGAAGTTATATTCATTTAACCTTTGCCTATTTAAGTAATTACATTTTGTTGATGTGCGCAATTACTATTTGAGAATAGTATAAGATCGGCCGTTTAAAATTCGGTATTCGAATCTTCTATAAAAAAAAGTAATGAACATTCTTTAGATGGCCAACCTTTTTTTGCAACTCGTCACCATGATATAGGTCTTGGTCTCAGAATCGACGACTGCAAGAGTTAAACAGCAAGCTGTTAGTTTGTTTACTGGCGGGCAGACCATATCTACTATACCACCAGAATTGGCGGCATCTAGCGGCCACAGTGGTGACCCGGCCATCAAAGGCAAACTGGGAAACAGTTCCAACAAATAGCTTGATATTTCACTATCGCAGTGGTTGATTCTGGTAATAGATGCCACTTAGTGCTGACATGTTTTAGTGATAATTAGCTAACAATATTCTGAGTTTCGGTGAAATATTGTATCTTCAGATGAATAAAAGTGCTGGATGAGGAAATGGAACTTTTTATTTTCATCTTGCATATTGCTTAAGCAATATACTGTGAAGAAAGATATACTCAAATTCCAAAACTTAAAAGAGTATTTTAGACTTTCAATTAACACCGTCGGTCACTACCCAACTTTGTGTATGACATATACACGAAGGAATTATATCAAATAAGGATGAAGTGAGTTGCACTAAAAGATAATAAAAAAGAAAATAACAAATACAGTTAGCATATAGTCAATAACCTGTACAAGTCGATAAAAAACTATGTACACTTATAAACACATATGTATAAGGCAAAAGGCATACCATATTCGACCACCATTCCAAATAAGGTATCCTGCACATCGCGGTTCAGTATCAACATGATGTCAACTACGTTAGTACAGGACTGTAATTAATGAAACGACATCAGTTTTGAAATATTTTGTAGTGTCATAAAATCTGCTTGATAAGCTTTTGATAAGATAGGGTAATTTTGATCTGAATAGCAGTGTAAATGTTGCCTCAGGTGATTTCCTCAATATAAACAATGCATTAACAAATAACTAAATAGTAACGGTTTAAACAGTGATTGTAACTTATTTGCTGAATTTTCGAGAAACAGTTTTCATGTAGGAATTATTCCTGATGAATAAAACAGATTTGGTGGTTTCAGCACGTTAATAGAGACTGACAAGAGTGGTTATAGTAGCTCAGCATTATAATGTTTATATTAGTTTGGGTTAAAAAATGGAAAATATCTCGAAGCAGCCTTATTACCATTCCGCACCAACATTTACCATATTGCTTACCGGCGCTGATGACTGGCGCTCTGCTGGCCTTATCTGGCTCATTTTTTTTCTACAGCGATTCGCGATTTGGCAATAAATGCAATCTTTTTTATTCTCCATTATTACACGATTCTCTCGAATATGTGTTTGTTTTACTCAGTCTTTCCACCTACATCTAGTTTTGCTTTTTTCAATATGTTGTGCCCATCTTAACGTTAATTGCTTACCTTCCTTATTAAGAATTGTGATAATATTTTGATTTATTAATTGCATTCGTTGTTTTAGCTCTTCTTATAATTCTGATTAAACATTAGAGCTCTCTTCACGTTTCATCGCAGGGCACGTGGTTCATAGAGACTTATGCGCTTGATTGAGTTTGCACACCAAATTTATTGTTTTTTTCTTCTTTTTGTGATATTTTTAGAGTATTCGTTGCCTGTCTGAATCCATTACGTCAAAATTAGTTACGAATTATTTTAGCGAAGAGAGGTAGAGTCGGGGATGAAAACAAATACAGGGTTATTCAGTCCAGAAACGGTCAAATATCTTGGGAAATAGTGGGTCGAAAGTCAAAAAATTTTGAACAGGAAGAAAATGGTACCAACCGCGATGTTATCAAATTTACCATTTTTCCGTTAACAACATATTTTTTTAAATTTAAACGCAATAGTATATATTTTTTATTGTCGTATATTACTCGCATAATACCCGTCCAATCTAGTTATAAAGATATAGTATCACAGTAACACTCTAAAAATGGGCGAATATCTTGGAAAATGCGGACCAATTTTAACCAGGTACTTTCCGACTACCTGGACATAGCTGCGTTATTTCCAAAGTTATTATTATTTCGGAAGTAACTATATTAAGTTTAAATAGCCAAAAACAGCGTTGGTTAGAATAAATTGAAACATCAGGCAACATAGTTATTTGAAGTGGAACCACTGGTTGCTCTTTTGTTCAAAATTTGGTGGATACCGCTCCAACAATTCCCAAGATATGTACTCCATAAACTTTCAATCATGTTACCGTATCTTCATATGTAGGCTAGGTGGAGTTCTGCTATTGCGAAGCTATTCTAAAGGGTGCTAGAGTGTAAATATCAAGTAATAAAAAAAGGATAGTTCTGCATTTAGAAGAAGTACTGTTTCTGACTAAATAATAAATCTGGAAACAACGCGAATACTACCATCTCGTCTGGAGAGATTTTTTATTTATCAATTCAATTTGTTGGACCGTTTCTAGAATTTTGACAATGTTGTCACATTTTCATAAGTAAGTGGGATGGAGTTATGCAGGGGTGCAAGCGGCCCAAAGTAAGAATTTAAGTGAAAAAAGTGGGATTTAAAAAAAATAGTGAGAAATAGTGAGTTTATACATAAAAAAGTGAGTTAATTTTGTGAGAAACTGAACATCATAAGGGCTAAATTATATGGATACCTAATATAAATGAGGTGTGAAAAAAAAACGAGAATAACTCTGATAAGGTCTTTGTTACTGTTTTACCGTCAAAGATAATTAATTATACGTATGCATGTTTTACAATAAAATGCATCAGATGCATAAAAGGAACATAAAAAATATAACAAATTCTTGTGAATACGGGAGGCTTACTTATTATCTATTAAGTATTCTTGTCCAATTGATTGAATCTACATGAACCATCTAATGTTAAAAAGTTGAAATTTGATATAGTTATTATAGTTGAGTATTTTCTACACAATAGGTGACTAACTTAATCATCAAAATTTAAGACTAGAGTATTTGCCATTAGGAATCAAACGAGGCCCTATTCGTCGGGTTCCCATGGCCACTTCCTGGATCCATCATCAGATCATCTTCATGGTATAATAAAATTGCATTGTCATATTAAGCGACCGCCATGCTGGATTAGAATGACGCCAGTTTGCTTACTTATTGGATCTAGAACGGCGTCACGTTACTTAATGTGTCTCTGGTCAAGCCCTTACAGTGATAGAAATTATAAACGCCATCTTGCGGCGATCGACATATTTGATTTGAAATCACGACACTTTGCCTATTGTATTTCTTTCAAGCCTTTTCATCTGATGCCCATATTATAGAGGTGACTATGGAAATTCAGTTTCAATATTTGTCCCACACATGCATACTAACTAACTAACATACTAACAGTTACTTGTACAAAGCTTGTTAATGCAATTTATATAGAAGTTACAGCTCAAATTAAGCCAGTAGAAGATTAAAATGGTTCAGGGTAAATTCGCATTTTCCGCCTTTCACTCCGAAAATACTGAATACTAAATGCGCAACTTTGCCGTCATAAACGACTTTGTATTATAATGGTTACCGTTTTCGAATTTGAAATATCCAGTGTATATATATATATATATACACGATTCATAGTTATTGTCGATAATAACTAGCTATATGAAAGACTTTCTTTGGGGATATCGACAAATTAAGCTAACTGAACTCTTTTCACTTACAAATACTCAAGCTTTCGACAGGCTATGCTGTCATCTCCAGGAGCTAAAAATAAAATTGAAAATAGTAAATAGCAAACCATGCTCAATTGATTAGAATTTAATTACTTACTCCGTCAATGAGATTGGTGCTAGTGTTTGATGTTTTAAATTGTGTTGGGGAACATATGGCAAGATGATAAAAACTGGATTTACGCGGATCCTTTTTTAAAAACGGTAGATAAAATATGGATGGATTGGGACAAACATTGTTGATTGAATAAGATTCCTTTAAACCTTCACAAATTCACATATTGGGCTAACCTAGAATTATTGGTGTGGTCGAGAGGTTAGGATTTTTGTGTGTTGTTGGTACTATTTGCAGGTAGTTGTGGTGGAGATCAATTCTCTTTGTTTAATCTGTTACCAACCTAAAGCAGAACGTGTTCAATACCTTCTTAAGAGGAGCGTTAGTTTAAGTGCAACACGTGATAGAGAAATTTCAGATTGATTTTGAAAAAAAAATTTCTAACTATATTTTGATGTAAATTAAGAGTTATCACTTGGCAAAATTGGTTGAAGACCTGTCATGGTGAAAAGGGGGGAAACAAATTGTTTTTCCAAAAACTTGTTGAATTTATCTACTGAATTGTTATACTTATTATTGTGATAAATCATTATCGGGAGATATGTGTAATCGTTCCAATTTATCGCAATTTAGCAAATATGAGTAGATGACATTAAGTTGTTTGACATCGGCCTTTTTGTTCATACAACTGTCTGTCATGAAAATGTGTGACATTTCTAAGAACAAACGTTTAGAGAGATGTTCTTTTTTGACAAGGATCTTGATACTGTTATAGCACATCGAGTGCCCTGTAGTGTTAACATGTGATGCCAAAGCACATCTTTCTGAATGCAATCTAGCGTCACTCCTGTGGGATGTTATTCTGCCCTTTAGTGATCTGGAGGTTTGACCTATATCTTTCTCTCTCTCTATAATATATATATATATATATATATATATATAAAGAGAATATGATCATGCGGAGAAATGTATATAACAACAAGTAGGAAAATAATGGGCAAAATCCGCAAAAAGGAGGAAAGTGGATTCGAGCAGAAAATAGGATAGGTAACCCGAGCGATACGTATTTCTGCTGGTTGGCTTCATCAGGCCCGAAATGAATGCACATATGAAACTACAAAAGTTGATACACATGCCCACACATCCGGATACGGGTGTAACCTGAGGAAACGAAGTTGGAGGAAAAAAAAACGACACACGAAGTCCACAACAAGAGCCAACCTACACATTGTAGTATAAAATGGCTATACGACCTCGAATTTTCAAGGAGACGTCTAACCTCCACCACGCGGCCGGTTATAGCCACTTGCTGTGGTACCTCAAGCCCCGGCTCTTGTTGTGGACTTCGTGTGTCGTTTTTTTTTCCTCCAACTTCGTTTCCTCAGGTTACACCCGTATCCGGATGTGTGGGCATGTGTATCTACTTTTGTAGTTTCATATGTGCATTCATTTCGGGCCTGATGAAGCCAACCAGCAGAAATACGTATCGCTCGGGTTACCTATCCTATTTTCTGCTCGAATCCACTTTCCTCCTTTTTGCGGATTTTGCCCATTATTTTCCTACTTGTTGTTATATACATTTCTCCGCATGATCATATTCTCTTTGTAGATCCTTTGGGCTTGAAGTACCACAGCAAGTGGCTATAACCGCCGCGTGGTGGTGGTTAGACGTCTCCTTGAAAATTCGAGGTCGTATAGCCATTTTATACTACAATGTGTAGGTTGGCTCTTGTTGTGGACTTCGTGTGTCGTTTTTTTCCCTCCAACTTCGTTTCCTCAGGTTACACCCGTATCCGGATGTGTGGGCATGTGTATCTACTTTTGTAGTTTCATATGTGCATTCATTTCGGGCCTCATGAAGCCAACCAGCAGAAATACGTATCGCTCGGGTTACCTATCCTATTTTCTGCTCGAATTCAGTTTCCTCCTTTTTGCGGATTTTGCCCATTATTTTCCTACTTGTTGTTATATATATATATATATATATATATATATATATATATATATATATCAAATTACAACTGTTGCAATTAATGGAGTAGACCGTATTCGCTAAGCTAAGCATCGGAACTTTATCTTCCATTTTGGAAAAT